AATCTATCTAACCATCCATAAAAAAACAACTCAACTTTCTTGCAAAAGTAAAGCCCCCCCCCAAAAAAAGCCTAATGGGGGATTTGTGGAGCAGTGGAGTGAGCAATAACAAGGTTAAATATCTCGCTGGAGAGGGAACAACTTCTTCATCCAAATTTTCGAAGGTGCTTTGTGTGCTCACAATCCAGTTAGACTACTTAAAACACATGAGGACATTTTCCCCAGCTGTGTGTTGCGTTTGTTTTGGGAGGGGTCCAGGAGACAGCGGGACTACTTGGCACGGTGAGCCTCGGCTGGAAGAGATGAGAGTTAAGGGTCGAAGCAGCAGACCGCTTCAATCCAACACACGAGGAAACGTCTGCTAACTGGGAGCTCTGCCTCGGCAGCTTGGCAGCTACCACTCTTACATATGCTCGGATGGAAAATAATGCTTCATTTTTTATTCATGACTCAACAGCGGCAGGGTGTGGGTGGCAGGGCGAAGGTAGCCGGGAAAGACACTGTCAGGGAAAAGAAGAAAAAGGTGGTAGGTTTGATTCCTGTAACTGGCAACACAAAAGAGGTGGAGTGTTTTTGACCAACACAGTTAGTGATTTGGTTCTTCCTGTTTACATTACGAACTCTTAAAGCTTGTATGCATTTTTTTTCCACATTGCTTTTAAACCTGGGGTCCATATATTCTCCCAGCATCTGATCAAAATCGACGATTTTTGAGGGATAGATAACGTTTAACAAAACAAGGTTCTGGTTTCCCGCCAGCCTTCCAAATGTTTTCCAAAACTGACGTTTAGTGCTGAGCTTCTTCCATCTGATATGAATGAATTACTAAACAGGCATGAAGAGAATGTCTCTTTTTGTGCTGTTTACCGATATGCAAATGTCAGAGATTAAGATTCTTTGTGGTTTATGGTTATTTGTGTTTTCACAAAATGCGTAGTTTTTCCCCTTGTTTCGTGATTCCTATTGTGCTTGTGTTGTGATCTTAGTTGTTCATGGTTGTGTTTTCTGTTCCTTGCCATCTTCACTCTTATTCTCCTCTCCCAATCCATTCTGGCTGTTAGCTCAACCTTTTTCACCTGGACTCGCTGTTCTCATTTGCCTCAATTTGCTAATCTCCCTCCTTAGTGTTTAAGCTCTCTGGCTCGAATAGTTTTTTGTCGGATCCTCATTTGTTGGTCTGCCCATCTTCTGCCATCTTGTTTTTCCACTCTGCTCTGGTTCCCCCTGTTGTCTTCTCCCATAGGTCTCTTCGCTCCTTTTTTGCCTTCCACTCTAGTTTTTAGATGTTAAATAGACGTCTCTTGGACAGTAGCATATTTCCTCTTCATCGGATTTTCACAAAATTATGCACTGTACATACTGAAATAACATTTTTTACAATTTTCACAGAAAAGAAAAAAATCTCTAGAACTTATTATTTCTTTATTTTTATTAGAGTTTGGTGTAAGATGTTTAGCCACAAACTGTAATGTGGTTGATGTTCCCTTTATAACCAATTTTGACATCCTGAAAAGTCTTCAGTTAATCTACTGATTGAAGATCTTTTTCAGTAGTCACTCATAATTTCCATTAACGTTTCTGTCATTATTTACATCAAGCCAAACTTTTTGCCGTCATCAAACTCTGTATTTGATTCAAATTCGTAAATAAATTGTTTAAAGCTGGTGAAGATAATGGAAATTAATTCTTAAGCATTGTCTCCTCCAAATACATTTTCAAAAACAATCCTAAATTTTCAGGAATTTTTCTAACCTCCTGAACCTCCTGAAAATATGTTTTTTTTTTATGTTCATGCTCATCTTTGTCCTGGTGTGCCTGCAGTAGATATTTTTCTTTTTTTTCTTTTTCTGCATGACAAAACTGTTACGAAACTTGACTTTTATTCTAATCAGACATTGCAAAAGTTGAAGCAGGCACCTGCTGTTGGAGGATAATATTCAATGTCTGTGCTATGTTATTCTTTTCTAGATGAATAACCATTACAGCTTGCAAAAATCTCTCATACAGTTTGGGTTTTAACATTGATTGTTGGAATGATCTCATTGGCATGTCAGCCAGACTGAAAGGAAAGATAAAGAATTTCTATAAAGTAGAGAAGAGTAGTCAAAAGAAATGTGCTGATATAATAGGAGCATTTACTGTATTTTCTTTCATAAAAAACATTATTAAGAGATTGTACAGCTATTTTCTTTAGTTAAAGCTTTGTTAAATCCTTAGTATCTCTCCCACAGCTCACTGTGGTCAGGTTTGGATTTCATTATAGGTTATAATGGAGGATGAACACGTCAATATGGAGCTGTGTGCAAGGAAATGAAGGGATTTGTATGAGCTACAACAAAGGGAATTAGTTTATGCTAGCAAAAAAGGGAAGCAGTGAAGACAGTAGGACAACCCCACCTATGTTTCTGAAACTTCTTTTACTACATGGGTCAACACTGAAGCTTCAAATGAACAGATTTACAAACTCTCAGCCATCCTATGGTCTCCGGCATACCATTCTTAGTGTGTTACACATGGGCACTGGCTTGTCATGTACACACAGCCTTACATCTGGAGTCTATCCATGTGTACACTGCACCCGTGGGCTGGCTATTGTAGTTAATTAGAAATGGTTCATGGCTGGAAATGAAATCCCCCAAAAATCCAAGAATGTTGCCTCGCTGATAGTAAGAGACTAAAGAATAGAGAATTTTTTACAAAGATGTTAATTTGTGCGGATAGCGCTTTCAAAAACAAGATGGCATAGTTAAATATAGACCTATAAAGGTTGGGTACGCACAAAACAGGGCCTAAAAGTTCATTTCCAAGCAAAGTTTGTGATCTGTACATTAAAACTTGACGGACAAATGGGCCATCAAGTGGGCCGTCCCTTACACAAAATCTGACGCTCATTTCGGGGAATGGAGAAACTGAGACGAGGGGGAAGTAAAGCCCCACGATTCCTCTCAGACGTTTACTTAACTCCATATCTCCATATCCAAACAATCGACTTTATCAAAAGCATTTGAAACAGCAGTGTTACTTATGCTCGTGCTGGTGACCCATTACTAAACATAGGGTCTTTCATGTTGAAAATGAAAATGAAATGAAAGCCCATAAGAAAACCCTAAATTTCACTCAAATATTTGAATGAATTGTGGTACACATCACTCCACCATTCACTAAAATTCTGCATCATTTTACCACAATTCACTCATATTCCTATAAGTGGCCTTAAGCGACTTAACATCTGTGTTTGGCTTTAAGCCACTTATAGAACAACATTATTCTGTCAAAGTATTAAAAGATCTGGGACACTGAAGCCATCGACCAGTGGATACGTCAGAATTCATTACACTGTGGAAGAACTGGCCAACATTAAAGCGCAGTTTGCAGCAAGGTCCAGTTTTCCAAATGTAATTGGAGCAAATGTATAACAAAATGTTGCCACTCGCTCCTTGTCGCGCCACTTCTGTGGCTGTCATGCTAAATGTTTTTTTTCGACTCTCCGCCTCACCCACCAACGCATCAGTTTCTTCCTCGGTGAAATTGCGTTCCTATGCTCCTTTCTCCGTGGTTGCTATTGGTAACCATGGAATAGCATTGATCGGTTGGCTCATTTATGTACACATTGACATTCATGAGGTGCTCTGTATTGACCATTTGTGGTTGAATGGGTGTGTAGAAGGCGGAACCATGTACACAAAACGTTTAGGCACAGTTCTATTAAGGGGAAATACATTTTTGGGGCGTACATGCACTTTTTAGTATAGATATGACACAATATTTTATAAATGACAATCCAGATTATTAACTCCGGTACCTTATTTGGAATCATCATGTCACTGCAGATGAAAGTCTGCAAGCCAGGACTGTACTGAGTCTTTTTAGAACACAATGATAACACAATCAAGCCATAGCAAGTCTTATCTATTACACTGTCTGCCTGTTTTTATGAAAATTTTAAACCTGGTTCAAACCTTCCATTTCTGCAGTGGGAGGATAATCTATGTTTCACAGAAATAAGTAAACTGTGAGATAAACTTTTTTTCTTGTGTTGTTCTGTCTGCAGTCGTATACATCTGTGGGCCCCTGGAGACTTTCATGATCATCATGAAGCAGTTTCAGAGGGAGATTCAGGACCCGGAGAACTACGCCATCTTCTATTTGGATGTGTTTGCGGAGAGTCTGACTGATCGTAAACCATGGAAGAACCCCAAATTTGAGTGGGCCAATCCACTTGATGTTTTTAAGGTATGATAAACACCGACCGTACAAATATTTTTCTCTGTTTCTTCTGTTCCACAGTGGTAAATATTGAAAAACCCCTTTCTGGGAACTGAAGTTCTGTTGCTGTATTACCCCATGTGTAGTATTAACACTGTTTAAATGAGTTTTGATGCTCAGTTGATTAAAAAATAACCAAAACAATCCGGAATAAAGCTTTTATGGTAATGCCAGGCGTGTGGTGACATACAAGATGAGCCGAGGATGTTGTGTCAGTTTGCTAGTATTTTTGTAAATTTGTTCTTTTTCCCCCTGAAGATTCAATGTAACCCCTCAACCACTTAAGGGAGTCAGATTCTTACGTGAAATGATGGAATTACTGGATATGCTGACAAAAAGAATACAATAGACACAGATGTGTTGTCCGGCTGATTTATCTCGTGAAATGCCATAACTTCTTCTCTCAATATTCCTAATTTATTTTTCTCCAAATTGTGAATTGAAATTTTTTTTTCACATACCTTTCTTTTGTTTGGAAGACGTTCCAGAGTTAAATCCTATCAGTTGCCAATTTGCAGTTAGATAAGATACAATTTTACTCCTGGGTGTGCTGAATTCTGATTCGCTGCAGGGTGTCCATGAATATCAAATAAAGAAAAACAATTTCCTTGTTGAGAAATAGTCTGTTTAGTGTTCACAATTCATGTGGTGCCTTAGCCTGTATCTGCGAAAAACTACACTTAACATAGAAAATAGTAAATACTACTCAACTCAGCTCTGAATATAAACCTGAAAACCTCCTTTTTGCTCTGTAGTAGTGTGGGTATTTGTGGATAGGATAGGATTTTAAAAAGTCCTAACTGCTTGGGGATAGAGGCAAACACATTTTGGCCTTGCAGAAACAGAGAAATGGCTTGTGAAAAAGATTCTGATTGATGAACACATGAAACACATTAACTCATTGTCACAGTTTTTCTACTGATCAAGAAAGTGATTTGTTTTTACAGTTTTAAATTTTAAATCGCTGAGGAACTTTTGTGTTGCTTCTGCCATTTTGAAACCAGAAGTTAGTAATTAATAACATCAGATTAACACGCATTTGTTTTTGATTAATGATTTATTTATTTGAATTTTCTTTTGCCTTTTTTATGCTGTTTTTTTAATGGAGGGATATAGTATTACTTAAGTTTTATAGAGATCATAGGAAGCTGTTTTGCTTGGTGTTAAGTTCATTATTGATGTCAATATTTTTTTTTCTTGAATGTGGATATGAAGATTATCCACACCAGAAATAAACAAGCATATCTCTCCATCATTTTGTCTGAATTCAGACTTCTCCGAATTTTTGCCAGAGAGCAAAATCTTGGCTCTGGGAATGTTTTTCATGCAAGGCGTTAATTTGTCTGCAGACCATAACTGGGCTGATTATGGCAATAGGCTTAATTTGGAGTGCTAATGGCTGGCGGCAGTTTGTGGTAGGGTTCCAATCACTGTTGTAAAAATGAGAAATGATCCAAAGCCGGTCAAGTGAAAAGAAAAAATCTGAAAGTCTGTGCAGAAATGGGAAAGGTTTGTTTTTGAGACTGCTGGTGTATTGACGGGATCAAAGTTGAGTTAAACAACAGCACTGAAATGGCCTTCTGAGAATTGATTGCTCTGCTTAAAAGCAGGGTCACACTGTACAGCTCCCTGTCTTTATTTGTGACGCTACAGCAATTTGGGATCATTACATTTTTAAACCATAAGAAAATTGGATTGGAATTTTCTCAAAATAATTAAGATTAAATCATCTAGTATGTAACTGGTTCTATAGGTATAAAACTTTGATTCATTTTTGTAAATTTTTATAAACTCTTTATGACAATGAATGGATAAACCTTGTCTTTATTTGTGATGTTACAGCAATTTGGAATCATTAGATTTTTTAACCCAAAAAAATTGGTTTGGAATTTTCTCCAAATAATTAAGATTCATACATATAGTATGTAACTGGTTCTATAGGTATCTGCTAGAAAGGTACAAACTCTTATTAATTTTTGTAAATTTTGATTAACTCTTGATGAAATTGAATGGATTTTGATGAACCATGTTTTTCAACTGCTCCTGCTGCTAATGCAACTGCGATATTGCTGTTTCTGTTGCTAATTCCCACTATTTTATTTATGGGGCTTTATGCTTTCAACTGATAAAATTGATTATTTGTCACTCAGGCCAGAGAGGTGGAATCTCCCCCCTGCCCACACTCAGGGCAGATAAGCTTAGGATTCGGCAGTTTTGTACCGAACTGTAAGAAAGTTAGTGTTTGTTTTCTTTTGGATTGATCAAAGTTCTGTTTGCAGCTTGATCACCATGGATTGCAGGGAAGCTGTCTGCACTAAAAGTTTTTCTTTACTTTGGAGACGTATGAGCCATACCAAATTGGTATATTAACACCTCGTTATAAAATCGATATCTTCATAGCAACAGATTGATGACTTATCTTTAGAAATGTAGTAGATTACCATAGAAACTGAAAGGCTTTGATAGCAGTAAAACAAGCTATTCTTTTTGTTCTTTTTCACAAATACATGGAATCTGAGAACTGATGTCTACTGATTTATTCCCACGCTCTGCATCAATGTAAATTCTTGACGACAAAAGGCATTTCTAGGTGAGGGATATATGCGGGAAAGCCAACATTAGAGAACACATCGAGAAGATTTTGAACTCACTCAGCTGGTTTCAGAATATTCCAAGTGAAGTATTCCCACATGGTGATACAGACCCGGCATATATGCGGTGTAAGATACAAAGGGCAGAAAGGAAATGCTTGTTTATATTAGAGTTTTCGCAACTGAACAAATACATCGTTTTTTCAAGAAGCCACAAAGTCCTCATAACTTGTGATGAGGGCAAAACCAAAACTTTACTGAAACACATTAGAACACAATCATCGTTTCAGTACAAATAAATTGTCACTGTCATGGGTGGTATTTTCTAGTGGTTGCTTCGGTTGTATATAAGCACATAACACAACTATGGCAATTACTGGTTGGAATTAGACAGAAACATCGGCTAAATGACTTAATAACTCTTTTTTCCCACTACCATTACAGATCACATATTCTTTGAATGTTCTGTGTTGATTGGTAGCATCTGCCTGCGTGAGCAAATTCCACATTGTCATGTTCTGAGAAGGAGGACTGTCTCTTGGATTATCAATGTGGACCGATGGCGACCTAATAAGGATGCCTTATGTGATTATATAAGGCAAAAACAACTTCTTGTACTTGGAGAAATTATCTCCTATGTCTCTATTTCAGTTTGCAGTTGTGTTCAGTCTGTTCATTGCCGTTTGCTCTTATTATCACAAGAAAACTGTATTTGTTAACTTAAGATAATAAGACAATTAAGTTGATTTCTTGAGTTAAACAAACTCAAAATATAGTTTGAAGCACGGTCATATTTATATGGTGTAGACGTTTTATTTCTCCACTAACTAATCCGTCACCTTAATGTGTTTAACAATGTTGCATCCTTTGTGTTTTCTCCAGTCTGTTTTCGTCATAACGTACCGCCCTCCAGATAATCCAGAATACAAGGAATTTCAGACAAAACTCCATGCCAGAGCCCAAAAAGATTTTGGCATTCAACTGGAACCGTCACTGGTAAGTTCTAAATCCTTGTGAGTTTCAGAGAGCATCACTTGTAATGCAAATACAAATATGCACACCGCCCCACAGTGCTGTGCAATTGTCAGCATTTCTCAGCATATTGTGTTTGTGTGTGTGTGTGTGTGTGTGTGTGTTTTTCTTCACAAGCTGACACAATTTCCTGAGTTTTTTTTTAAATGTCTGAGACGTGCTTTGGTCAAAGTAGCACAGAGAGACAGTGGAGCAGCTCAATTTCATCCTGTTATTTACACCTCATTTAAGCAGATCATTTTATTGTCACCATTTTATTGTTAATGTTAACACCTCTTAACTCCACTTTGCCCTGCTTCTTCCTCGAGCCTCTTTTAATAACAAAGTAATGCCATGATTCATTCTCTTGTACTGGTTCAACACACACAGCAGAATGTAAACAGTTGATTGATAATTAGAATATTTCAAGTCAACTCCATATACACTAGACCTCCTTGACACTTCACTTTTCTGTATTTTTTCTGCTTTCAGCAGCTGTCATTAAGAATGCTGCTTGTATTGCCAGTATTTCACACATACTGTTATTCTAACAGGCAGCTGTAATTATGGTACACTCACTCTTGCACGTTGCAACATCTGTCTAGTGAAAATGTGTAGGTGCTACCAGTGCATTATTAGCGCATTTATTTCTTCACTCAGGTTATTTTTGTGACTGATAATGATATTTAATGCTAGCTAATCAGAAGGTGAGGGCAAACTAATTTAAACCTATTTATCTTTTGTACAGCGAATAGATCATCATCAGACACAAAGATACAAGCATTGAGGAAATGAAAAAGTCTTTTTTCTGGGGGATATTGTCACAGCCTGATCCTTAAGGTCTTAAAAAAATCGGACCAAATCTTTATTTCATGAGGTCAAAATGGTCAGAGTTAGTGAATCAGCCTTATAAAACGTACACGTGATGTTGTGTGTGAAAGTGTATGCTGTAAAATAAACATATGTAATAAAAAGACAACATCACCTATTGGTTCCTAGCTGTAAATGGGAAGAGTGAAAGGACATTTTTGTAAAAGCCAGGTTTGGATTCTAACCAATATCACTTTTAATGATGAATTATGTTTACATTGTGAGCAATAATACTTTAATAATGGTTTAATTAATGTTAGACATTCTATTTCAAAGATCAACAATGGTACAGCAATCTGAACAAAATTGTCTTGATTAATTCAATTCCCAACTCTAGCAATAGAACAGGCGTCCACTTTGTTGACGAGCAAGTCTTTTCTCAAATGACTTTCATCACTGGGACTCTAATCAAAACCCAGTATTGTGCAAACATTCTCGTTGCTGTTGGTCCAAAGAATTTGTCTTCTTACAGATAGACTACATTGCCGGTTGCTTTTATGATGGCTTTGTACTTTATGCCATGGCATTGGAGGAGACTCTGGCAGAGGGTGGGGCTCAAAACGATGGCATTAACATCACAATGAGGACGCAGAACCGTCGTTTCTGGGGTGAGTAAATGTAGTCAAAGTCAAACCACATCCAACTGCATATTTAAAATAGACGACTGAATATAGCAGTGAGTTATGTTTTTGTTTTATTACACTGACTTGACTTGGTTCTTATTGAGGTATGCAAACACTGATTGCCAGTTGATTGCTGATAATTGGAGTTGGTAAATGTTCTGTTTGGCAGAGAACTATTTCTGATAAGGCATGCTTTAAACCGACTGGCCCATCTTACCATGTCTGGGAAGCACCACTGAACCCAAAACGTGATTAGAAATATGCCTTTTCATCAGAACAATCATACTCTCATTGTTGAACATTCATCACACAACACTCCGGTTAATCATACTTTCAGTGCTTGATGTGGTGTATAACACACTTCCTTGCCGACTTCACCCACTGCCAGATCTGTGCTCATATCAAACTGAGAGCAGCAGAACAATGGGAATTTGTTGCTTCAGATTAAGAGTCGATTGGGGTTGTTTTGCTTGGCACAATTGACGAAAAAACAACAAAAGTGGGACCAGTGGGAAGGATAATGGTGGAAAAATTCTCTCTATTACTCTCGAGTGTTTTGTCAGTGTTCATATAACCTGGTTAACAAAGTGATATTTTCATTGTATTGTAACTGTTTGTCAAGCTTAATTTCAAAATAGGGTAGCCCAGGGCAGTATTGTTGTGTAAGTACTCTTTATGAAGCTCTTGTTAAAGAAGTGGTGTGTATAAGAAAACAGAACTGACTGTATGGCATGTAAATGGTGAAAATTGTGGAAAAGATATTTACCTGTTTAGATCTGTGCAGAAAAGACAATCTGAATCTGTGAATCTGAACTCCTGAATTACCTCAAATGTGTTCATTTGGACAGTTTGTAACCATAAAATACAGTGGTTGGACAATGAAACTGAAACACCTGGTTTTAGACCACAATACTTTATCAGTATGGTGTAGGGCCTCCTTTTGCGGCCAATACAGCGTCAATTCGTCTTGAGAATGACATATACAAGTCCTGCAAAGTGGTCAGAGAGATTTTAAGCCATTCTTATTGCAGGTTAGAGGCCAGGTCACGATGTGATGCTGGTGGAGGAAAATGTTCCCTGACTTGCTCCTCCAAAACACCCCAAAGTGGCTCAATAATATTGAGATCTGGTGACTGTGCAGGCCATGGGAGATGTTCAACTTCACTTTCATGTTCCTCAAACCAATCTTTCACCAGTCTTGCTGTGTGTATTGGTGCATTGTCATCCTGATACACGGCACCTCCTTCAGGATACAATGTTTGAACCATTGGATGCACATGGTCCTCCAGAATGGTTCGGTAGTCCTTGGCAGTGACGCGCCCATCTAGCACAAGTATGGGGCCAAGGAAATGTCATGATATGGCAGCCCAAACCATCACTGATCCACCCCCATGCTTCACTCTGGGCATGCAACAGTCTGGGTGGTACACTTCTTTGGGGCTTCTCCACACCGTAACTCTCCCGGATGTGGGGAAAACAGTAAAGGCAGACTCATCAGAGAACAATACATGTTTCACACTGTCCACATCCCAAGATTTGCGCTCCTTGCACCATTGAAACCGAAGTTTGGCATTGGCACGAGTGACCAAAGGTTTGGCTATAGCAGCCCGGCCGTGTATATTGACCCTGTGGAGCTCCCGACGGACAGTTTTGGTGGAAACAGGAGAGTTGAGGTGCACATTTAATTCTGCTGTGATTTGGGCAGCCGTGGTTTTATGTTTTTTGGATACAATCCGGGTTAGCACCCGAACATCCCTTTCGGACAGCTTCCTCTTGCGTCCACCGTTAATCCTGTTGGATGTGGTTCGTCCTTCTTGGTGGTATGCTGACATTACCCTGGATACTGTGGCTCTTGATACATCACAAACACTTGCTGTCTTGGTCACAGATGCGCCAGCAAGACGCGCACCAACAATTGGTCCTCTTTTGAACTCTGTTATGTCACCCATAATGTTGTGTGCGTTGCAATATTTTGAGCAAAACTGTGCTCTTACCCTGTTAGCTGGACCTTAACAGTCTGCTCTTATTTGTTCAATGTGCAATTAATGAAGATTGGCCACCAGGCTGGTTTAATTTAGTCATGAAACCTCCCACACTAAAATGAGAGGTGTTTCAGTTTCATTGTCCAACCCCGGTACATGTCAAAGTCACATTTTCCACGTGTTTGTTTTGATTATATTATTCTTCTCTTTTTCTGCATAGGAGTGACAGGGCTTTTTTCGACAGATGAAAAAAATGCCAGAAACATAGATGTCAACCTATGGGCGATGACCAACCAGGAGACGGGAGAGTATGGTGTAAGTCCAGATTTTTCTGTGTGCTTTTTGATTGATATTCACTCGAGTGTTCTATATCAAGATTATTGCACGGATATTGAAATGGAAAAGCGTTTTATTATAACTTTGAGGAGGCCATGTTGGAATAGCTCAGATCTTTTGATATTTTTTTATGAGACTCTTGACTGAAGATAGGATTTCGGAGACACATTCTGCCATTTGTGTTTATGATATGGCACAATTTTCTTTTGTCTTCATGAAACGTTTGTGTTAAAGTAGCTCAGCTTTAAGGGGTAAAATGAACCATTTGATTTTTATCCTGATAGTTTTTCTTTTAAAAAACCTAAATAGCTTCATGCCTTGTAAACTGTCTGAAATATGAGCTTTCAGTACCAAAACTGAAAGTTGATAATAGTGCACACCACCTTGAAAAGTACTTGAGTTATTTTTCGTATAGAAAGAAAGTACTAATCCCTTTTTTAGGTGTTCAGTTATTCTTTGACCCTGTTTTAACCTACAATTGGCTTCTTTCACCCAGCAAATCTCTATAAATATGTCAGAAAGCTAGCGTTTTTAAACACTGACCTGTTTGAAACTCCTTAATAGCTAATGAGATAATTATGTTAAGTGCTGGTGGTCTTGACTGTGATTGGATGTTAAGACTAATATGATGTTTGATCTTAGTTTTTATCCACCTCACAGTGGATTCTTTGCAGCAGTCGTTGTCAGTCAGTGTCAAGCTGCTCTTAAAAAAGATAATTGCAAACAAAGAAAAATTCATGTGCCCCTAATTACTGTAATGAGCATTTTCTCAAAATTCTTTCCAGCTCCATTAGTTGTGTGTGGTTTAAAACCACAACTTTTGCTCATGTTTGGCCCTGCAGATGCAATTAAATCAAATGTTCACCAATGCACATGGAAAGTGGATATTGCTATCTGTGTGACACTTTGAGGTCTTGACTTCTCTAATGATAAGATTCGTAAAACCTCAGACTTCCCTCTCTCTGTTATTAAAGTGTGTATCGCAGGCTCTCCACACTGCTGTGAACAGCTCCAGCGTGTGTGTGTCTGTGTGAAGACAGACGAAGTGGGTTAGCTACGTTCGACTTCAGTTAGAATTTCACATCCATCCGCGGGGACTGTCAGCAGGACTTCCTGGTCTCATTCATCCTCGGGCTTTAATTGGTTCCTTTGTACGGCTGATTGACCCGAGTAGCCAGAAGTCTGGTCGAAAACATCACAGGAATGGTTTCAGTTTTCAAGATATCCGTTACAATAAGTAGTCGGCCACATTTGGACGCCATTTTCTTGGTTGTGGATTGCTAATAGTGCACATGCTTACATTTGAGCTCAGCTGACATAACAACACAATGGCTGTAAAAATGACTATTTGGGAAGGGAACTAAAAAAATCAGGTTTTACATAATTTGAGAAGACAAAAAATACTCCCAAGAAAAGGTTTGTTGTTTGAAAAGATCAGTTTTTTTGGCAGCGTGTGGTCGGGGATACAAAGACTGACCGCTGGACTTAAATAGTGGAGCTTCTGCTCCTTCTCCCATCACATTCTTCATTGTTTTGATGACCCTTGTTAAGTGTGACAGTCGCTGAGGTTTTAGCAGAAGGGACACAGCATGTTAGTAGCAAGGGTCAAACGCTCTAAGTACTGCTGCTAGTCAATAATGCTGGAGTCGTATTTCACAGCTTAACAACAGATGCAGCTGTTAAGCTTTGAGACGATCTATTTTGGATGCTCTCTTACGTTAACGTCTGTATACGAACTGAAGCATTTGAAATAATGCAATACTGCCTCCAACATTTGAATAATAATGTTATATCATACCTTAAATGATATAATGATTTTTTACATCACATTAGGGAATGCCAAGTGTCCATGCTACCATGAAAAACCAGCTAAGATATAGCATGAACTTATAAGTTCATTCTTTCTAGTTGACTATAATAACCATCATGTTTACCCAAAGCAATACCACTCAAATTCTAATGGGGCCATTAGGTTTTTAAATAATATTTTTTTCAGCCAGGGAACAATTTACCCTCCTTGCTACTCAGATATTGTTACTTGCTGGCAACAATTTAAAGCCATCACAGAAATTAGTGTTCCTTTTTTCCCCCCTACTTTGCATGGATGTTTGCCAAATCGTAAGAAAAAGGGTTAGTTTTTTTCTCCCACCTTTCTTTTTTCAGATTGTAGCGAGAAATCACAACCATACCTGTTGTTCTACCAGATGCTGCAAGCTTAAACACACTATTGTTTGTATAGCTCTTTTCTATGGAATGTTGTGGGGAGTCTTTATTATAATTATTTTTTTCTTTTTGAATTCAGCTCGTTGCGCACTACAACGGAACCACCAAAGACATAATTTGGTCCCAGACAGAAAAGATCCAATGGGCCAATGGTTTCCCACCGCTGGATAACCCTCCTTGTGTCTTCTCAACTGATGACCCCTCCTGCAACGATGGTATGCATGCATAGAATTTAATAAAACACTAATGCATTCATTTAAATCCCTAAAATACATTATCTCCATTAAATGAAGTTGTCTCCAAAATGTTTAAACTATAGGCTGAATTATGGGGTACCCTGGCTGCATAAGAATAATTCAATACAAGGAAAGATAGATGTATTCATTCATCAGCTGGATGCTAAAGTGCAGTAATCCATTGCTTTTGTGCAGCTGCTTCCAATTTCATCCCATATTTTTCACAGATTGAACAAGATGCTAGGATCGAGAAGTTAGCTGTAAGAAGTGGGATGAACACGGGATAATGAGTGGAGCAGCAATAAATCTGATTCTCTCATCGTTTTTGGAGCCAACCGCAAATTAGTTACAGAGTTTAGAATATGGATGACAGCTTTTTAAGAAACAAATGAACATCTGACAGTATAATAAATTCAACTTGACAGAAACGAGTCAATTAAATGGGAAATATGTGCATTGGAATTGTTGAAAAAATTTTGAATAAAAACATTTAGATAGGAACCTTTTATGTTATGAGTATAACTGTTACACATGATATTAATGCATGTTATATAAGAGAGCTGCAGCATTGACCCTGGAAAATTTACCAGCAAAGATCCCCTCTATTATAGACATTATCATTATCACAACATTATAGACAAACATCTGTGTCCACAGGAACAAAACTTTTCCATCTCTGCTGATCAAAATGCGTCCAGCTGATGTATCTATTATTAGATTAGTGATTCTAATCTATAAATGAATGCCAATGGCATGTTTTCATCACTTAGGACAAAATCCAGATGTAAGCAGGGATTAGCTGTACTCCGGATGGAGATAAAGAAGCTTAAAGTCTTCTGTTGTGTACGATTGTGGCTAACGTGGAAAAGGAGACACTGTTGTTTCTTTTTAGGATCAAAGTGCAACTATTAATTTTTTTTCTGTTTATTCCATGATATGAACCTCCAAAACAGGACTTGTTCAGCTAACCTGCTAACTCTGATCTGCATTGTTAACATGTACAACTGTTGGTCAGGTAGCGTTTTTAGCAGCATTTCTATAATTATGACCATCAGCTTATCCAGTAATTTACAGCAGGTGGTATGATTGGACTCCATTCTGGGTCTTGAATATGCACGAGGGATGCCAGAACTGTGTAATTGTCAGAAATTATTGCTGGTGGTGTGACAGAAAGCTGCACCCGTGTAGCTGAACTCTAGGAAGTTCCAGCTGTGATTTTCAGGGCACGCTGTTTTTTTTTTTCCTTTGTTTTAAAAAATGTCAGGGTAGGCATTTGTGGAACATTTGAGAGTGTAATCCTCTTTTTTTTTCCCTCCATCTCTCCTTTGACCAGGTCATTTGCCTGTTCTGGGTATTGTCGCTGTGGGTTCTGGCTTAGCGCTCATCATCTTCGGAATCTCCAGCTTCCTCATTTACAGGTGAGTTTGATCGCCTTCCTTTCCTCAAACTGCCGAATAGCTGTGATCTTTCAGAGACTTTTGGTCAAACATAGAATCGAGGGGTTAAGAGAAGGTGAGAGACAGATGTGTGCATAAAACTCAAACCATGGATTTATGGATTATGCTGGATGCTGTTGGGGTATTTATACTTTTGTTGCCACGGCAACAGCTCAGCAGGTGACAGCACTAAAGCCCCCAGATGCTGCCAAGTGAGCTCATATACCGGCTCCAAACAACACTCAATGTCTCCTACAGTTAATGATAAATATTATTTTAAATAAAACAAGTTATCTACAGTAGATTCAACATTAATTACAGTAATTGGAATAACTCATATGCTGCTGATGTCAGGTAAACACTTCGATAATTGTTCTACTTTCTAAGAAAAATAATTGGTTTGTTATATATTTTTTGACCACTTAAAAATGTTTCCACTACAAAACAAGGCTAGTTTTAAGGAAAATGGAAGTTGGTATTCAGGATATACAAAGTGGACGAATGCTATGGATATATCTCCATTTCATAAGAAGTTAGAATGGTATGGTAAAAAAAAAAGAATAAAATACACTTTGTTCAATAAATTTGCTTTCAGATAATATTAATTAAAATAAAATCCATGACATATCTGAGAATTGTATTATAATTTACTTGTATGTTGAGGTATATTCCTCTAAAACTTGAGACAGAGCCAGTTCAGGGACTGTAATGAGAATTAAAAAAAGGATTTAAAATGGTGACAACCGATTATGTCTACAATTATGATTTGATGAAAATAGCAGCATCAGTGACAAAGGAGCGAAGATGAACACAGTCTGACAAGCTTGTCAATAAATATTTTAGAGAGATACTCAGATGTTTTAAACAATTTTCGAATTTGTTAACATATTTCTCCCTCCATTGCACATAAATATAATTAAACAAATCAAAGAGTCTAGAAGGATTTTATACCTTAAAAGGCAAGGGGGAAAATGTAAACTGTACCTTTAATCATGAATCTCTCTGAGATCAGCTCAACAAGAACCAACATTTATTGATTTATGATCTAACCATCTGAAATAAGTTTTTTTTTTTTTTTAAAGCAGTGCTGTACAGAGTTGTACTGACTAATGTCACTAAACTTTACAGTGGTAAAAGAAGACTTGTTATAATCTAGTCCAGAAGTGATGTCACTTTCTTTAATCTTAAAGGCTTCCGGAATGGATCCTCACATAGTGCAAACATGTACTGGGAACAGACCAATTAATGATTCAGATCTTGTTTTTTTGAGGAAATGGTAACTATGCTCTTCCGACCAAAGAGGAAAAAGACCGCGTTGACTCTTATCAGTTCAGTTCTGTAATGGCAAAGCAAAACTTTTCTTCTGTGAAAAAAAAAGCATTATTGGAGTAATTCAAAGTACAAGCATCTTTTCCTGCGAAGTCCATGATCTTTATTTCTATTTTGGGAGTGACTAAATTCTAACTGTAAATTATTTAAGGGGATTATCCTTAAAGGTATGAATCCTGAAATGCTTATTGAATCTCAATTGTGAGCTCACAGTGTCAAAAGTGAATACATTTTGAGATTTGCAAAATGAGCATGCTTTACTCTTTAGTATTAAGGGATTTGGGATTTACTTACAATTACTGCATTCAAACAGTCAATTTAACATGCATCTTTGAATTAAAATGAAGCCTGTTGCTTCATTATGGTTTTTTACTTTGTGCTCGGCATTCAACTCGAAAAACAAACTCATTTAATCGTGATTAAAGTAAATCATGCATGCTCAAATGGAGCTAATTAAGCTTCTGGAATGATTATAAAATTACGGTTTATGTCATGTTTTATATCTGCAAGGAACGAAAGGAAATGAATGTTTGTAACTTTTTTCTCTTTTATCATTTCATCTGAGGCGTCGTTACTTAAAGCCTAATGCTGTTCTCTTTATGCTTAAACATTGTTCTTTTATGACAAGCTGACAATACACATCACTGCACAACTAACAAATCACCGCGGTAATCTGATTAATTCTTTAATACTGACCATTAACACAAACAAGTGTTAATCACCAGCCAATCAGAATGGATTTTGATCAGAGGAGTGGTGCAAGAAAGGTGGAGGAGCAGCTATCCGTCTGAGGTAATTCCACTAATACTGAATCTGACTTGATCATGCCAAATAATTCAATAACTATCATATCATTTCATTCCGAGGGTGCATTTATTTAGCAATAAATTAGCTGCTTCTTTGTTTTTTTTCAGCTCTCAGTTCAACAAGCGCTTCATGGCCTCCCAGCTAGGTAGCTAGTTTCCTTGGTCGGTAAGTTTATTTTCTTGGAGATTAATAAAAAAGAAAAAAAAAATACCTAGACCCAAGTATATCATAGTTATTATCTATTTCTGTTATGGAAATTTAACTTGGGAACTGTGACTCTGACCCTCAGTTTTGAACTCTTTGCTCCATAGCAACTATTTTGAGACTCATTTTTAAAAACAGAAAAAAAGGCAATACGTTAACATGAGCGTGCTGTCCTTTCTTTGATTTTGAGTCAGAATAATGCTTCCCAAGTCGATTAAACTGTAAATGTAACCTAAAAATAAATAAATAGAAACACCTTTGAGCTTTTTCTGTTGGCCTTCTTTTACACCAAAGACTAACAAATCACTTCCTGTTTTTCCAGACACCAGTGGGGCTTTGCTGAGCAAGAGAGGTGGGCTGCAGAGTTATTTTTCAAGGATCAGCCAGTTGCCAAGAGGCCTGTATTTTAAGAGCTTGACCATCAAAACACCACTAAAATGTCTAAAATATTTTGTCACTGTCGGTACTTAATCAGATCAGAGCATAAGCTTTACAGTCCACGTGCAATTTACACATCTGTGAAATTCATGTATCTTTTATTTTTTAATATATGAAAGCGATATATCATTTTAAAATATTAACATTTACCTCTGTTTTCATGGTAGCTTTTCATTAAAGCGTGAAGGAAAACCTTGTGTTTTAGAGGATTCACTGTGCCTTTGATTTTTTTCCATGAATGTAATCTTGGGAGAGGAGATTCTAGTGAATGTGTGATTATTTGTGTATTTTATATGAGAAAATGATAAGATGGCAGGCTAGTGATTGTGACTAGTGGTGGTAATGGATCACTTTTCTGACACACGGCCACTGCCAATGTGAAAAAACAAAGAATTATGAAATATCAAATCAAATAAAAAAGGGAGTTGAGTCTCGAACCATCTGCCTCTTGTACTGCTTTGCTTTGCAAATGAATGATCAGTTTTGGAAATTTCCTCCACACAAAACCACCAATGCTCATTTTTCCGTATAGCCGACATTAGACTTCCTAAAAAAATCTTGTTTTTATCTCTTGACGGTTCAAGAAATCCGAATTAGATACGATTTTCTGCTCAGCGATTTGACTTAGTCCTGGTGTATTAGCTCCATTTTCCGACGAAAACGCGATTTTTCATGAGGCAGCTGTTGATTCCTGCTCTCCGTTGACTTTGGAGTCTGCTGGGCAGTGGGAGTGTGAGGGGATGTTGAGCAGCGCAGCAGCGACTCTGTTGTTTTAATAGAGGGGTCGGTCCAAAAGAGGTATTCACAAATGGAACTCATGAAACAATAGGCCCAGTGTGGAGCCTCACACTTTACCCCTCTGGCTGCCAGAGGTTTTCTAAATGAGGGCTCTTTAAATAGAAAAGTACCTTTTTTTTTTCATTTTGAGGCTGGAGGGGGGCTGGTGCTTTAATGACTCCAAAATACTCACAAGCATCAGAATATCCATTACCTTACTACACTGCCCAATAACACTATTTAAACGGGTGAAACTAGAAGAAAAAAAAATAGCCACTTTAGGGGCCAAAGCTGGCTGGTACGACAAATAACCAAAACAGCGATATATGCAAACGCTGCAATAATTCCCCCTGGCCATCTGGAAGCGTTTTACACCTTTTAGATTGCCGTGGAATGTTTGGGGTCTGCTCATTTTTCATTTTCTAAGTGTTTCGACTGAAAATGAATTCCCTACCCCCTCTCCAGGTTGAAGGAAAAAAGGACAAAAAGCGAGCAAATAAAAACAAACTGAGACCCTCCGCTTTCCAAAACGGTCCGGTTTTATTTCTGAATGTGCCCTCAGTGTAAATCATTAAATGTCAAGAAATCGCGGCTCCTCTTAAATTTGCCCCAGATGTGTTGACTTGCTGGTATGTGTCTTCTTCTGTGTGGAGTCTGCCACACAGACCGTTGCTCAAAAATAACACTTAGAACGTGTCAGAAATATCACTGACAAGAAAATTAGGAGATGAATTACTCCGGTTCAGCTGTGCACACATTTGAAGGAGCTGAAGTGATTCATCAACACATGATCCACCATAGTAGGTAAAAAAGGAGTAAGACAAGCAACTGGTGGTTATTTTTGTCTTGTCATTATAATACCGGCAAATCCAACTGTTTATTGTATCCTTCATTCTGTTTGGAGACAGTTGACCTTTTACAGGAACCTTTTTCACAGAAGAAATAACTTGTGTGTCATTGGGGCATTTTTCCTGCTTGGTGGAGGAGAAATGACTGCGAAGAGAAATAAAACTTCAATTTAGCCATGTGTTTCCATTAAGTTTATGATTCCTTATCCTATTTTTTGCAGTGTTTACTATTTACTTCAGTGAAGCAACTCTTTTTCAAGGATAAAAAAAACAACTTACACTTCAAACTACTGCATATGGATCAGTAGAGTTAAAATCTATTTAAAACAAAATACCAATAATGAGTTAAAACAAGTTCAAAATGCCAGAGATCGGCTATGATCAGCTATTTCAGGAAATACCACCAGGAATGATGGTGATCAAAAGGAACTGAACAAATGGGGCGTGTTTGTTCTTTGTTTATGGTGACTTGCAAGATTGAATCCACGTTGTTTGGAATATCATTTACCAGACCACCTCGGCTCTGGAGCATTTTATCCACTTATTTCATTCCTACCAGAACTGTTACAGCCTCCCGGACATGTTCAAACACCCCAACCCAAGCTCACTTGTGTCAGACAGTTCTTCTGTTCTGTGTGCTTTTGCGCCCTTGTTGATTTTGCCACATGCTTTTTCCTTTTTTTTTTTGCAGGAAATTGAAGCTGGAGAAAGAGCTGGCTGGAATGCTGTGGAGAATTCGGTGGGAGGACCTTCAGTTCGAAAGCCCCAATAAATACCACAAACGAGCTGGCAGTCGCCTAACACTATCACAGGTAGACCGTCTAAAATAATGCTGTTGGTTTCACAGATTTGTGTGCTGCGTAAATGTGTAAATGAGTCAACATTTGTGATATCAAACCTTTCTTGCTTCAATTACTTAACAGGATCCCTGCAGTACTGATCTTAAAGATGCTACTGTGGGCTCCCCAGTTATCACTTATAGATATTTCACTTCTGCAAAAATAGGAACTGTTTTTATTTATTAGTTTGAACAGCAGAGCTTCACATGGTTTACACAGTTTGTGCTGTGTACTCAACTGCAATTTGTGATTCAGTCAAAAAGCTGCTGTCATCAGATAGTCCAAATCTTTTTTGGAAAGCTTCCCCGCTGGTTCATTCAAGGTGGCTGTGATTTTGAATATTATTATTCTGATTGCTAAAATAAGCTCTTGTCTGGCCGGACTCCCCTCATGTAGTATATAATACCTCACCACATTCATCCGGTATCAGGTTCTGTTGTCTGGGGACTATCTCATCCCACACGTGCAAGCATTCAATGGAAGCACATGCACACACACACCTCTTTCATTACAGCTTTTTCAGTCCAGGTCCTGGAATAATGTGTGTGTGTGGAAAATGCAGCGATATTCCAGAGCCTTGTTTTTTTCCAGAGCTATGTCTTGCCATTATTTGCATTCAGCACAAGCACTGGTTGACTGTGCTTGTCCGTCTGTATGGAACCTCTCATGCTTTTTTTTTTCTCTTTTTCTCATGTGTGCACAGACATTTCTCCAAGATCTCTCACAGGAAACAGAAAAAAAATTAACATTTCAATATTTTGCTTTCAAACATACAGTATTTAACCAACATGTTAATCTGTTTTTTTGTTAAATGAACATATGCACAGTCCCGGATTGGCTCTAATCAACAATCATCATCGTCTTTTCTCCTTTCTACCTTCTCAGAGAGGCTCCAGCTATGGCTCCTTGATAACTGCCCATGGAAAATATCAGCTATTTGCAAAAACTGGCTATTTTAAGGTAAGGCTTAGTGAGTTCTGACATTTTCAACTCCTGCACACTCCTTTCCCACCCACACATGTGCACACTCATAGAGAAAGCCGGAGAGCTGGAGAAGCGAGAGAAAGAGTGTGGGCGAATTTAGGTAGTTGGTTTTAATGTTGAGCTGCAGAATGCGTCAATTTTCTCTTGTCTTATTTCCCTTTTTTTTTGTTCCTTTCCTTTTTCGGCTCCACTCTCCCGCCTCACCGTCTGGACATGAGCATCAAGTTGTTGCTGCTAATTTGTTTTTGTGAGGTTGAGGAGATGTGACAAAAGAGGATGCTGAATGATGAAAGAACTGTCTTTGTGTGAAGCTGTACAGCACAGGCTTTTATAGAAATGCTGATGCGATGGTACATCTCAAACCTTTTTATGGATTTTAGAGGGACTGAGATGAGTCTCAAATACGATACAAGCCAGAAATGCAGTCATGTAAAAGCCTTGACAAGTTGGAAATATTGGATAATAACTTGAGGACACCAACCCGCATCCTTTTTATTCTTCTTCTGTTTTAAAATTTTAAAAAGTAGATAACCTTCTCCCTTCACAGGAAGCTGAAATAGACTTTGAATGTACCTGTAGGCAAAAGTGCTCAATGGTGCCTGGAATCCTCTCTTTAATGGTTCTTTTTAAAAAACATTTCTTTTAATAGAAAGTATTAAATTGTGATTTTCTATGCAACATTCTGCCTGTACCTTTCATTGCTCCCTTTTTATGTTGCACACAGGGTAACCTTGTGGCCATCAAGCATGTCAACAAGAAGAGGATTGAGCTGACCAGACAGGTTTTAATGGAGCTCAAGCATGTAAGTGTTTGTTAATGGTTCCAGATTTGATTTCAGGTTGACAGCGCTGGACAAAAAGAAAAAACAGCAGTTGATTCAAAATAGGGGGGAAAAAAATCACTTTTTGTCAATCCTTCTGCTAGAAGAGTTTGGGAGTTTTTCATGACAAAATGTAAATCTGTTATTTCTTACTTTACTGGCCTGCTTAATTTTATTTGGAAAATATCTATAAGAAATATTTCTATCAAAAACCATTTAATATTTTGGATAAAAGTCAACAGAAAAATAGAAAAATGTTATTGAAGACTGTAAGGGTGTCAGGATTAGGTATAAAAGCCAAAGCAAGACACAAAAGCAAGGATCTCACTGTTTTTTTGTTTTTTTTTACCAAACTCAATTAGAGAAGTAAAGAAAAACAGAATCTCTATGAGTCAAGTCCAAAGATGGAAATCTCTGTTGATAAGTGTGATCATAAAGTATCCAACACAGCATGTACAACCGTCATGGCACCAAGATCTTTTAAGCTTTAGGGGGCAGTTGTGCCAAAAAAAAACATTGTTCTCCTTCACCTATCAGAAGAGTTCACTCTTCAGTTACCTTTGGGGGAAAATGTAGACATCTACAACTATGTGCCAGTAAAAAAAAATCATTCAAGCTGCTATCTGGAAAAGCCAGCATCTGCGATGGCATGTGATACAAAGAAATATGTGTAAAGGTACCACATTTAGAGGTAAGATAGATGCTTCTCTCATCTGTTAAAATGAGGTGTTTTCAGGTATTTCAGCTGGACAATGTCAGACTTGACCCTGCAGGACCTCCAACAGCATGAATTCATAGTAAATGTATGTTTGTGACAGGCCTGCCAACAGTTCAGCTGTCTTTTGTACAACCTCTATCATGAAGCACAGAATCACATAGCAGGCATTGACTCTCAAGCAGCTTGAATATTGTATTCAGTGAGAATAAACCTCTTCAGGATGAATCTTACATTTTCTTTCAATAGGAAATGCTTCAAAACAGCAAAACGCGTCTTTGTTCATTTAGAAATAGATGTTATTTTTTAAGATATTGTGAAATCTTTCTGGCTCAATATATAAAGTATGTTTTCATTATCCTTTGTACCTGAACAGAAGCTCGTCTCTTCTTAAGTTTGTTACAGGATGTTGCTTGTTGCGGTAAATACTTCACATTCTTAAACTGTCTGTTTAACATCACCAAAAGCAGCCGCTGGTGAAAAGATCCCTCTAGCTGGGAAATAGTTACAAGCTAGTGACAAGGATGCTGGGAGAGAGAAAAAAAAAAATCTCACCACTTAATGTGGTTTGGTGATGGAAACAAAGTGTGGCACAGGGGAAAGCCATAACTTGAAAATTACAGTGGCGGTCATTAGCGAGATGGACACTCGCTGAGAGACGTTTTTGCCATTTCTTTCCTTACTCAGTCAACGGCTCTCTTCGTTTTAATCATGTGTCTCGGCACAGAGGTTCTGGTTGTTTTGTGAGAGCTGCAGTGTACCGGGAGGGGGGTGGGGGGGGTAGTTAGCGGCCTCTCGGTCAGTCGACAGGCTGCTGTCTTTGCTGGCAGCTTCTCTGATGCCCCGGGGCCCGATCGGCTGTCAAACTCCTGCTCATAAAAAAAAAAGCCAACCAGATGGAGGGATGAGACGAGCCTGCCAGTGGAAACTTAACCACTTGTCTTCCATCGCTCTTCCTCTCGCCCCCCCCCCCCCCCACCCTCACAGGGGGAAATTATATAGGCCAAAGGGTAGGCTAACATCTCCCGGGCCACGAAACAGGAGCAACTAACTTTCAGACTTTAGTGAGAACTGTTGTCATCCACTGTGCCCAAAGAGTAAAAGTAAACCACAGAAATTATGCTCAGCGCCATTTTTGAAGTTTAATCCCAGCTTTATATTCCTCTGTAATCACTCATTCAAGTTGGAATGAAAGCATAAGAATGACCTTCGCTGAGTTTGTTTCTACCAAAATGACATTTAATACCTTTTTCAAGACGGGAAGCTTGCAGAGAACACTCCCACCTAATTGCTTTTCCCCTCAATCCTCTACACTTTTACATTTAAACGGTGCATGTTCTTGTTTTAAAAACCCGCTGTCTGCTCACGAGTTTGACTTGTTCCACTCTGATAGTCCTGCTCATGCATCCTCTCAACACCTCCACATATTTTTTTCATCATCCTCAGCACACTGGCTCATTCATAGCCTCCAAGGGCAATTCATGCACATGCACATGTTTCTTCTGGGTGCGATGAGAAGGAATGCGTCTCGACACGTAGAAAAAGACACAGTGCCAGCTAGTCAACTGCAAATAGACTATTTTGATGAACAGCTTGCAGTGTTATTTTCTAAACGTTGCGCATAAATGAATCCCCCCCTTCTCTGTTTCCATGAGGTTTGGGAATGTGATCTTTGGAAAGACTTACTCTCACATTCGCAGTGTTTTCTATGGGCCTATTTTCAGATGAGAGACGTCCAGTTTAACCATCTGACCAGGTTCATCGGGGCCTGCATCGACCCTCCCAACATCTGCATCGTAACAGAGTACTGTCCCAGAGGTAGCCTACAGGTAACACGTTTTGGATCTTTTGGGATGCTGTCACACTTTTGGATGTTTTCACACCTGTGTGTACAAAAGGCCTTTGTGGCTGAATAAGTGTGGAGGCCAGTTGTGGACCAATATGGAACTCAAACCGGTGTGGAAACTTGACTCTGCTCCGCTTTTGAGGTTAACTGTTTATTAAGTTATTTTAAGAAGCTGTATGAAAAATATTTAAATATTTATTGATTGTGGTTTGAAGAAATTCACTCACATATCCTGCACAGGGTGCACATAACAGTAAACTGACATTCCCCAGGGATTTGATTAACCCTTTAACATCTACACATAGAAAAAGGCAAGAATTTCTTAGAATTTTTCTTAGATTTTTGGAGAAGTAACAATCATTAACAACCTGAACACACCTTTTTTGCCCTTAAATGTTAAGGTTGTTGCAATACTACTTGATTCAGAAGATAAAATTGTATGAATGTCAAGTTTTCCACTTTTCTTAAGCTCAACTGAGGTTAATGGAACATGAATACTACTTGTAAGAAATATTGGAGTTGGAAAAAAAGACCTTTTCACTATCTCATTAATTAGCTAAGAATAAACCATTGATTGACACTATTAATGCAATATGAGACTAAGACTTTTAAATGAAGATCAGCATCCTTGTTAGCATTTAGCATTTCTATTTAATTCCCTTTATGAGGTATTCACACTGTCTAAACTCATCTTTGATCTCACTTTTGCATTTGATGTAGTTTTTTCTTGTAGATTTTTTTATTTTTTTTAACTGATACGAAATGCACGAAGCTTTAAACAAATTTTGTTCTTGGCCAGCCCTCCGAACATGTCTCGGCTCTCTTAAAAGGGACAATCTGGGAAACGTTGATAACGCTTGACTCGCTGAGAAAGAGAGTAGTGGAAAAGACAGATAGCTTTCGCTGATGTTCTGTAGCTGGATGTGAAAGCTCGACCCAGATTCCATTAACAGGGTCAACAGCCGGGGCTGTGAAAGTTAGTCAGTTCTATCCTGCCGGGCTTCATGCATGTCCATCAGGATTTAAAAAAAAAAAAAAGAGAGACTAAATATCCCTAAATATCCCAATGAGTTCTAGGGTTATTTGGAAGATGAGAGCTTACAGCATAAAGGTCAGATTTTTTATTTGTTCTTGCTTTTTCCAGGACATTTTGGAGAATGAGAGCATCAATCTGGACTGGATGTTCCGCTATTCACTGATCAATGACATAGTGAAGGTACGTGCATCTCAAACTGAAGACATGAAAAAAATAAATCTGAAGTCACAGGCGAGGAAAGGTTTTCTCTCAATTTGGATGTGTACAAGTTAAAGGGGTTTCTAAAACCGAGTGCTGAATAAAAGGATTGTGTCTTACCAGATATGCACAAAAAAATGTCAAGGTTGCCATGGTTTCACATGAAGTCACACGAGTTGAGCGAGGGAGAAACAAATACATAAAACGTGTATATTTGGCTCAGTGCGATGCAAGAAACTCCTATTATAATGTCAAATAGGAACAAATGACCATGGTAGACGTAATTTAAACTGGATGATCTAGAAGTTTTTTTAATATGTCTTAAGGAAAGGGACTTTTGTTTAGTTTTTATAGGGATGTTACCCAAAATGCTGAACAATTCACAAATTATATTACCAAAACTTCCCGACCCACTTGAATTTTACTTGAATTCCAATCTCTTTTCAGAACTTGCCATTAACATAAAGTTGTGAAAGCATATTATTTCCACATGTCTGGATTTGTGTGTTTGCATGTAATGGAAAAAAAACAGAACGAAAAAGCACGGGAAAGTAATGCTCGACTGACGCTTCTCCGCACTAGGGAATGAACTATCTTCACAACAGCTACTTTGGCTGCCACGGAAATCTGAAGTCATCTAATTGCGTGGTGGACAGTCGATTTGTTTTGAAGATTACAGATTATGGCTTGGCCAGCTTTCGCACATCCTGCGAAAATGACGACACGCACGCACTTTATGCAAGTAAGTCAAATCCATGCTGTTTAAAAAATTTCATTCGCTGAATTAAAACAAAAAAAAAATCTAATTTCCTGTTTTTTTTGGTCTTTTTTGTTTTTTAGAGAAGCTTTGGACAGCTCCTGAGTTGCTCATATATGACCGCCATCCTCCACAAGGGACTCAGAAGGGTGATGTGTACAGTTTTGGCATCATACTGCAGGAAATAGCTCTGAGGAATGGACCTTTCTATGTGGAAGGCATGGACCTCAGCCCTAAAGGTAAACACAACTGTCTTTTTACAAGCTTCAAGGAGGCCAGCTGACCCCTGTGGTATCAAATGACCAGGATCCTTTGAATCTGCAAAATAACATGGAAAACACAAGCACAGAATGCAAAGAAATTATCTGCATGAATCAGTTCATTCACACTTCCTGTTACCCTTATACACACACAAATGCAAACAGAAAAAAAATTTGTTTGGCATTATTAAACTAACTTTCCCCCCCCCTGTTTTAGTTTTATGGACATTGCAGAATGACCCATTGTGAGATCACACACCTATACCACACACTGACAGCCACTCACACAAATACAGAACACATGTTGCTCAGATGTCAAGACAGATGGACTCCCACAATCTAACACATATCCTAAGTGAGAAATAAAAACATAACCCCATCTGTTAGAGAAACAATCTAAACTAAGCCTAGAAAAGGCTAAATCAAGCACCATATCAGAGACTTATTGTGTGAAGTAATTTAAGATGCTCGAGGTATTTTTAAACAGGGTACAGCATTCCATCATGTCCTTTAGCTTCCTTTAAAGGCAGGTTGTAAAATGACCATTTAATGCTTTGAAAAAGTGCAATCCTGTAGTCTTTATACACACAGATTAGTCTAATCTGAGCAATATGTAATTACACCTTAATCAACATATAACAAGAAAACTGAAATAAAAACTAGACCAAATATGTTTTTTTACAAAAGGGTTTTTTAAATGCTGTTTTTGGATTGACTTTCAGTGTGATATAATGCTTTGCAGGAACATTCTCTTGTTGGAAAAGTCCTGCGTTATCATGTCAGATTAAGTAATGACTGTTGACACTTTGGCTTCTCAGCTTCCCGCACACATGGAAGCCATTTAGGGTTTGACTAGTATCTTTACCGGCATTCACTTTATGCTGCTTGTTCTTGGTGACAGCGAGAAAAACCTAAACTTCCAAATTAATCGAACAGCACCTTCAGCACATCCAAAGTTGGCACTTTTAAGTTTAAACCTGCTCTCTACTGTTTTCAACGTTTCAAAACCAGCATTTTAATTGATGCGACAAACTTTTATAGTGATATATTCTTGAAAGTCTTTCTCTTTGAGATACAATTGTATGAAATTCTTAGATAGTTTAAATTGTTTGTCATAACATTGTACGGGCTAATAGTAAGTAAAGCTAAAACTCAGCATGCATACACTTTATGATTGATGTTTTTCCAAGAGGAAAGACTGTCTTTGTTTACGTTACTTGAATTTATGTTGGATATGACATTATATGAATGAAAAAGCACCATTGGATTGTTTTGAAACCTTTGATAATGTTGTAATGAATACAAAATAAAATGGTCACGACCGACAACATAAAAATGTGACCTTATGCATGCTAAATTCCACGGCATGGATCATAACATCTTGTCTTCCTCCCCCACCCTAGAGATCGTGCAGAAGGTGAGGAACGGTCAGAAGCCGTACTTTCGGCCAACTACCGATAATACTTACCACTCGGAGGAGCTTACCATCCTGATGGAGGGCTGTTGGGCCGAAGACCCTGCAGAGAGGCCTGATTTCGGCCACATCAAGATCTACATGGCCAAACTAAACAAGTTAAGATCCATGCTTTACTTCCCTTCTAATTCCGACTGGTCATTTTCAATTGAAGGTGACTTCACAAATAGAAAATAGTTCAAAGGTAAAAACTTGACCTTATCAGACAATTACAAATCTACATGATAAAATGTATTAAATATGTAATTCTGCACACCTCTTAACTTTTTTCATTCTAATAGAATCACACAGGTTGAAATTACCACAGTTTTTTGCTTTTTTTTATATCTGCATCTTCCCAACGTACCGAGTTTTGAGTAGAATGTGGAAAATCTAAGTTTTCCATTTCCCAACTGACGTGAAAGCTCATTCGTTTAACATATTCAAAAAAGCAATTAGGAAAAAAAGAGTAATTTTGTGAAAATCATCAAGGCAATTTCAGATAAGAAGTTGTTTGTGATTCCTGAAAGGCAGTTATGACAGGAAGTTCTCTTTACTTCCCTTCCATCTCGTGTGTGTGTGTGTGTGTGTGTGTGTTAGAAAGGAACACAAATCCATGTGTTTTCTATTGTTTTAGATGATCTTAGGAATCTTTATATGCATATTTTCCTTGAGAATTTCATGTCAACGCTCCAAGGGAGGAATGCATATTTTCCCTTGAGTGAGGCAGATCTATCAAAAAATGGCTGTGCTGAAACCAAATCCAACTAAAGCACACAGATACAAAGTACACTAACTGTAGTTTGAATGTGAACAGGGACAGATGCGTGATGTTAAGCCAATTGCCGGTTTTTAGTTTCAAGTACTTTGTCTAACATGGCTTTTCTGTTTTTGGATAAAGGACACCAGTAGGAGAAACAAAACAATCAATCAGTCATCATTTGGACTGTTTGGGAACTATTTGCAAATTCCACAATATAAAGGAAACATTTTGTTCTCTCAATTATATGATCAAGTATTTGTCAAGATCATGAAAGGTTTCAGAAACACCATTTGTGGAGTGAAACCATGAGGAATTGTCTGATTCTGCTCAAAGATTTCTAGCATGTTTAATTTTGTATAACAATGGTAAACATGGCATCCCAAGTATGAAAACACATTTCACTCAGAGCATCTTACATCCCTAACAAAGAAGTCAACTACATTATACAGCAAGTAGATGTTAAAGAAGGGTGATAGGATATATGAGAGTGCATTGCATGGACGGATAGTGTGGAGCAACCAGAGGTTTCAATTTTCTGCCTGACAGCTACAATTAGTCTTCCTGTCCTGCGAGTTGTGGCCTGAACATCAGAATAGAGGTCATAGTTCTTCTTCTAAATAGTAACTGGTCACTTTTCCGAGTCTGAGGCACTTTCTGAGCAGCGGCCGATAAATTGAAAAGACTTGACTTTTAGCTAAATGTTGATTTCCACTTCCAATAGGTACCTTGTCACACGCTGATGACCGTGGGGTGGTTTAGGGTTAGTGTTTCAAGGCTGAGTATGGGATTGTTGCTCTGTCGAGTAATCATTTTGACATTATTTCATTCACAGCGTTCGAGGGCAGCAGTCTCAATGCATTTTTATTGTTGTGAAGGAGGTGTATTGTTCTGTTCTGTAAAAATCAGGAGCATCACTGTGAGCTACATTAACAGTTTACGTGAAGAGTTATTTGAATAGCAATGGTTCCAAATGAGTTAGGATATAGATTCTATTTATTATTTATTTTCTCTTGTGCGGCTCAAATTCTGTGCCTTTTGACATAAGAAAATAACTTTGTCTTTAGAGCACTGTGGCTTAAATTCTGTAAAAATGCACATTGATTACCAGGGAGTGTGATTCAATCTTAGTTTAATTAATTTTAACACAATTCATTTCCACTGTCATTTGCTGCATATCTGTATAACAAACAAAACATTTTGAATACAGCCATTTATGCCAAATAAGGTTCAGCTCAATAATGGACAGACCGTTTAAATCACAATCAGTTTGTCTGTTTTTTTACGGCATTAACATTTTGACTCCGCTTGTTTAGATGTTTCTCAGTCACACAAATTATGACAAATGAAAAATAATAGTCTTTTTTTTTTTTAAAATAACACACTCTTCTCAACACTGACATTGAAGTTACAATTATTCTTATAATAGCGTGTGCTGTAGTACAAGTACCCTTATTTTTACCATCTGTCTGTGTAGGTTGTGGAATATGTTTAGAAATATGTAATGTGGTCTTGAAAGAAAAAAATTAATTAACCTGAACCTCTCCGGTCCTCCGATATTAGGAGTTATATTAGAGTTGAATTCACGGGATTCAGAAGATAAAGTTCACTACACGGCTTTCCTAACTAAAAACATTCATGTGAGCAGTGTTATTAACCTATTGGTGGTAAACCTGAAAAAAGATCAGACAACTCCCCCTTGTTTTGTGGTCAGAAATTGTTAATATGATCATCAGGTAATCTTACAAGTTAAGAGGAAATTAGTAGTAGTAGTAGTTATTAGTAGTAAGAAAGTATTATCTTGTTTACTTTCAATGCGTTGATTTGTAATTTATTAGAGCATTATCACTCATCATCAGTCAATACCAGTGTGCTACATCACAATTAAAGATTGTTCTTAAACCATCCATCTATTCTTTTACAACACTAATGACCTAATAACTAATAACCTAGTTTGGTTACAGGTGGGCTTGAGCCTGTATCAGTATCAGTATCAGTATTTGGGGGACAGGCATGGTACTCCCTGGGAAGTTCACTATCACAGGGCCATAAAGAGACAAATGAAACAGACAACCCTTAAAAAAAAGCAACCATACTCACCCACACTCACTCCTACAGGCAATTTAGAGTCTCCCATGAATTTAGCGGGCATGTTTTTGGATGATGGAAGGTGTTGGAGTATCAGGTATAACTATGCACAGAGATACTTCCAGCTGGGATTTGATTTGGGAATCTTTTGCTGGAAAGCGACAATTTTCCTAACTCAAATCCGTAAAAAAATTGTGCAATCCTGTGTTGTTTAAATTATGGACCTTGAAAGTTGCAAAAATCACAAAGCACAGATCAATATTAACTTTGTTTGGTTGGGCTTAAGCATGCCAACTATTTAGTTAAGTTTAAGTGAAAATAAAGAATAGATAGGATATCGATTTATATAATTGCTATAACAACGTACCACATGCACAGCTCTTGGGTAACAGTGTCTATTTTATAGTTCAAGCCTTCAGTCAAAGCCTAAATTCTATTGATTATATATACAAATATTTCACATACATGAAGGCCAATAGAGTTAGGAGAGATTAAGACTCACCCTGTCTTTTCATAAATCTTCTGTCTATGCCGTTTTAACCTGCACTCACAATAAATTATAGCAACTTTTGCGGGACTCTGGATGGTGTTTAAAGAAGTCTGTAGTCTTCTCTTATTAGATATCACACTCGAAAGGAGTGAGAAGTTCTAAAGATATTTGAAGGCAGTTTAAGAAGGCTATTCATGCACTTGAGTTTGAAAGTTGTATGCTCCCTTCTGTCCTACAGCTCTACGAAAGTACCTTTAGATGAAGAACGCTCATCTCTTAAGGCCACACCTCCCATGGAAATACAATCACCTGACAATACATCCAATAATTGTGCATGCAGTTTAAACATATGGTTAAGATGAGGGAATAATAATGAATTAAAGAAGCAGAAGCACTGTGAAACATGAAATTGAGTTCAATTTTCTAACACCCCACTCCACACCAAAAAAATTGTGTTTTAGTTTGTATTTACATCCTTTCATATTTACAATAGTGTGACTATTAGAGGGCAGATTAAATAAAAGGCTAGGGCTAAAATCCGCTGATATGAACTATAACTGGGAAGATCTTTGCCGTTTTACAGGCAAAAATTGAATGAATATGCTATTCATTCCATAATTTGTCTGTTAATGTGTTATTAATTGTGGGAAGGATGTAGTTGGCAGCTTTATTCTTGAGAAATGCATGTGTGAAATTGTTGGGGAAGCGACCTGAAAATGAAGGGGGTTTTTGAAGTGACTGCATAAACAGAAGTGTGCTGTTGGTGTGTTTTTCCTCTTAGCCTGACCTCGGTTGTTAGCTCTATGATTCTACACAGGATGAGTCTGGTGATGGATAGAATTCCATTTGGAGTGGGTTGAAGCAGAGAGCTTTATATGATTGATAACCTCAGAAGCACTCAAGGATGCTCTTGACAACTCTGTGCTAAGTCCCTCTTCATGTGTATGAGGCCCTTCACCTCAGAACCCCTCTGCGTTAATGCACTGTCTGCTGGTTATTTTCATTAGGTAAATGCACGATGTTGACACGACGTGATGGATGGGTTGTTATTTTTGGTGTGTTAGTGTGACCCTAGGCTTCAAGGGCGCCGTAACAAGTAGGGTGTTTAGCAGTTAATGGTTTGGTTGAACCCACACAGGGACCTAGCACTAGGCTTACCATGAACAGCTTGACCTCTGTGTAAATCTCGAATCCCATTGTTTATTATCCAACACTAATCCTAACCCTGCTCAAAATAGTTTTATTATTCTTTATATATCATATTATGTTATGAGTGTCAAAATGTTTACTCAATCAACATGTTCTGAAAAAGAAAAAATGGCTGATCAGAACAGACAAACGTCATGACTAACTATGGCAACAGCATTCTGTGGGAAGCAGTTATGTTTAAGAAAAATCTTAGATCATTTCTGACTATGATTATCGTTGCAGAATGCTGTTCAAATAATAATCAATGCAGAACAAAGTATTTAGATATAGATATTTGTAAATGCTTTAAAATGACAGTTAAGAAGACAGTTTTGTGCTAGTTGCAATCTCAAGCTCCACAGCTAGGTGTCACTAAACCCCTCACAACCCTCGTAACAGAAATTTCTGGAAAATTATTATAGTTGTGCTACATTGAGACTCAAGTGTCCCACTGTGTATTTACAAAAACAATTTATTGGTCACTGGAAATATATATAAAAAAACAATTGTTTTTTGTTTGTGTATGTGTGTGTGTGTGTGTGTGTGTGTGTGTGTGTGTGTGTGTGTGTGTGCTTGGTGGGAGGGGGGTTAAGATGACGCATTTCTATTACATTTTAAGATATAATGAAAAAGGAACAAAAGACCCAAACCCAAAATGGTAGGTGCCCACACAAGTAAACTCATAGACAAAGTCAGTAAAAGTGTCCCTTAGTAAATGTTTAAGTTTTGATATATTTTTTTTATTCTTCCTGGCGAAGTTTAAAGATTACTGAGATCATTTAGGCTGTATTTCATACACAGGGCTTTTGAGTCCATCGGTTTGACTTTGACGACGTCATTTGTGATGGACTGTGAAGTCCATAGCAACACTTTGAGCTGGCGCCACGGCTAAATGATCTTTAAATAATTCCCTCCAGTTGTTACATTTTACAAAGCTTCCCAACTTTTTAAAAAAATATGCAATTGATCTTTTTTGGATGACGTTTTTAAAAGCAAACTAGACTGTTTTGGCCTCTGACAAAGGGAAGAAGCGGAAGTTTATCTCAATGTCTCAATTTTGCTTTATAAGAATTATCACTGTTACTATTTATTGGAGTCAGTGATGGGGACGTATGGATGTCTACCATGTGTGGTTCAGTACAAAATATGAGCCTTCTGTGACAGAATTCAGTGTGTTTATCCTTATCGGCCTTTTATGTCTCTCTCTGATATTGCTTCTTTACACTTAAACAACGTGTGGGTGTGTGTGTGGGATGTGTGACCCAGTAGAAACTGGCAGGATGCCAGACATTGATGCTTTTAGCTGCCATGGTAGTGTGGATGACTCACCTTTTAGCTCTGAGTAAATGCACACGTATGGATGAGCATATGATTATGGAAACGTAGATATACACACATACAGTACAAAGATGATATAATAAGAAAAATCTACGTAAAATATTATTACACTCTGTGGTTTTGCGATGACGCAGTGCCCTAAAGTGTTTTTTTTTTTTAAATATTCGCAGAATACAGGCTTCACTGCAAAGTGTGTGCATGAGCAACAACTGCAGATAAAGTCCAGACCAATATACATACAAACATTCTCCATATTTGAAAAAAGTACATTTGAAGTTAGTACGTATGTTTAAAAAAGAAAACAAGTTAAACCATAAAGTGTTGCTGGCCTCAGTGCAAGACACATCAACAGAATTATAACTGATTGAACGTGCTGATTAACTACTGTAGAGTTGAAATTATCTTTAAAGAAATTAAACGAAATGTGCAGTCAAATATGCACAATATTTTGTTAAAGAAATTTTAAAAACTGCTTGACCTCTACACCATGTGCATTCTCTTTATTCCAACCTGGATGTTGTTTTTAATGTTGTTTATCTATTGTCTTCTATTACTGCAATATTTAACTCACTGAAATATCAACTGAGACAAGGAAGTAGAGAGCACCCAATTACATTTCTCTAGTCTTCTGTGTTGTTGTTTTTTTTTTTACAGAATCACAAATGGAAATGTGTCTTAAAGCATTTTTTTGTGTGCTCCACAGGGAGGGCAGCACCAGCATTCTTAACAACCTGCTGTCCAGGATGGAGCAGTATGCCAACAATCTTGAGAACTTGGTAGAGGAGCGAACACAAGCCTACCTGGAGGAGAAACGGAAAGCCGAAAATCTACTTTATCAAATTTTACCACAGTAAGAAAAACACCGTGTTGTCTTTGTTCTGCTTGTCCAATTACCTTAAACACAGTGAAGGAACTGGATTACCAGAATGTACAACTGGCTAACATTTTGTGCCTAAGCCTTACATTAATTAAGAACTGTGAATCCTTTCCGTCCACTAACACTTCTCCGCATGCAGTGATCACACTGTAGATAAAAGGGAGCAGAGAAAGCTGACAGGGAAACTGCTCATTAACGGGAGACAGTAGAAAAGACATAATTGGAACACAGTAGCAAATACACTCTTTTTGTATCATTTATCCTCTTATCCTTTACCCCTCAGAAAAAAAAGCCTGAGAGAAAGTACAGATATGATTTCTCACCGCACTTGTGAGCTGAACAAACCGGAATCTGCCACTGAGATGTTTGGCTTTTTGATCCCTTGATTAAAAGAAAATTAACTTTGTGACATGACATCTGGGAATGATTAGATATCAGGCATTCAGCCAGATCTCAAAATGAACAATATCGGCTGAATAAACATCTTGTTTTTGAATTAGTAGGAAGCTTCCTATGATCCTTACTCTTATTTGTCTGAACTCACTCTCCGTGCAGTGTCAACAGCATGACTTTTCCCTGTCTGTGTCCAGTTCAGTAGCAGAGCAGCTAAAGAGGGGTGAGACTGTGCAGGCGGAGGCCTTCGACAGCGTCACAATCTATTTCAGCGACATCGTTGGCTTCACATCCATGTCTGCAGAGAGCACGCCGTTACAGGTAGGCCTACACTGCCATCAAAGCGTCTTCACAAACCTTAAGCCTGTAATTCTTTTTCTCTCCTGCTCACTGTTTCTATCTGTCAATCTTTTCCCACATCTCCCAAATTTGCCGGAAAGCTTACAAATCCCTGATCGTGATCAGAGTTGCTGTGATTTTTTTCCTCCTCGACTTGTGCATTAAAGTGCTCATCAGTCTCAGGTCTCTACCTACAATCTGTCTCATAGATCCCCCACACCGACTGTGACTCAGAATTGTAAAGTTGCTCAGTGGAAGAGTTTGTTGACGCAGAGTTGAGTCACATTATTTCCTACAGTCCAATTCTAAAGCAAGGCCTCTATACCTCAGGCATCATCTGAGATCTAATTCTGGATCTCAACATGTGTGGAGATTAATGCATGTAAGGCCTTAAAAAATACCTTCCATAGCAATCCTTTCAACTCAATTCAATTCAGTAAAATTTTATTTATATAGCGCCACATCACAACAACAGTTGTCTCACAGCGCTTTCCAAACAGAGCAGGTCAGACCCTACTCTGACGTTAATTACAGAAACCCAACAATTCCCACCATGAGCAAGCACTAGGCGACACAGGCAAGGAAAAACTTCCTTTTAACAGGCAGAAACCTCGAGCAGAACCATGGGTCAGGGTGGGCGGCCATCTGCCTCGGCCGGACTTTAAATCTAGTTGGAACAAAGGCATGAGAGATGAAGTGCAAAAAATAACATTTAATCAGTCAATGAATAAATACTACACAAAGGAGAAGAAGATGCTAGGTATTTGTTACGACATACTTGTGGAATAATATACTCTATATAATATTTTGTAATACCCAAAGAGAGGTCATTTTTATGAATGGTATCTGTAACTCAATTTATGCTAGTTCCAAAATCCCAAGTTTACTCAAATATGGCACCTGATCTGTACTGGCATTTGAGCCATTCATGGAAGTCCCTCCCTGGACCACAACCTTGTCATGGTGGAGGGATTTGTACGTCCCAAAGATCCTAGAAACTATGTTGTTGGGGGCTGCTGAGTAGATGTGGGCATATGTATTGCTTGTGTTGGGGTTTGCCACAGTGGAAGAAACAATAGCCTTCCTTGGCCTTTGGGTGGGGGGGGCGGGTCTTGACTGCTGTTTGTGCCCATGCACTGTACAGGAGTTCAGAGTACCTACCCTTTTTGGAGACCCTATGGATTGTTGTAGAACACTCCTCCCGGTGAGTCTCCTTCTGTTTTGGGACTTTATTGCCCACATGGGCAACGATGGTTTGACCTGGAAGGACATTATTGGGAGGAATGCCCCTCCCTGATCTGAACCGGAGTGGTAGTTTGTTGTCAGACTTCTGTACTTGTCACAGAATGTCCATAATGAACCATGTTCAGACATAAGAGTTTAGATGCACACCTGGCATCAGAACACAGTTAGATGATTGACTTTGTGTTCCTACCATTGGACTTGCAGCAGTATGTCTTGGACCCTCGGGTGAAGAGAGGGTTAGAGATATCAACCAATCACCCCCTGGTGGTAAATTGGCTCAGATGGTGGGGAAAGATGCCATTCAGGCCCGGCAAGCCAAAATGTGTTGTGAGGGTCTACTCGGAGCATCTTGCAGAGTACCTGTCCGAGAGAGTTTCAACTCCCATCTCCAACAGAACTTCAACCATGTCCTGAGGGAAGTGGGGGACATTGAGCTATGGGGTTAACTGGGATTTGTTTTCCACTTCTATTGTCGAAACAGCTGACCGGAGTTGTGGCTGCAAAGTTGTTGGTGCCTGTGGCGGTAGTCCCAGAACTCGTTGTTGGACACCAAAAGTTAGGGTTGGTGAAGAAGGAGTCCTATCGGGCCTTTTTGGTATGTGGGACTCCAGAGGCAGCTGACAGGTTTCGGCTGGCCAAGCGGTGACTTCGGTGGTTGCTGAGGCAACTTCTGCACTGCTTCAAAGAGGTTCTGGTCCACTATCTGGTGGCTCAGGAGGGGGAAGTTGTTCCCCATCAACAGTGTGTATGATAGGGACGGGGCATTGCTCACCTTGGCTCGGGATGTTGTCGGGCGGTTTAGGGAATACTTTGAAGACATCCTCTATCCCACTGAGTGGTCTTCCAATGAGGAAGCAGAGGGCCTGAGGGCCTGGGTGTGGGCTCTCCGATCATCGGGGGTGAGGTCACCGAGGTAGTCAGAAAGCTCCTCGGTGTCAGGGGTGGACGAGATCTGTCCGGAGTTCCTTAAGGATGCTGTGGGGTTGTCTTGGTTGACATGCCTCTGCAGGATCACATAGATATTGGTGGTAGAGTCCTTGGACTGGCAAACTGGGGTGGTGGACCCCGAGAAAAACAAACCACACGCATTCAGATTAAATTCACACTCCTAAGGGCAATTTTGACTGTTACATTAAGCTTACATGCATACTTTTGGACTGTGGGAGGAAGCTGTAGTAGTTGGAGAAAACATACAGAAAGGCCCCTGGTCTCCCAGGGATTCGAACCCTCTTGTTGTGAGGTTACGGTGCTAACCACCACGCCACATGTGCCCCTGTTAAAACATGATTATCTACTTTCTAAAGTGGCCAGTTTTACCACACATTACAGTCCTGTTAGTTGCAAGGTAAGCGAAAATAATTCCGTTGCTCCATTTTCCTCACGTACAGTGAATGCAGCAAGGTGAGATGCCCGAAAAATTCTACTCTCTGTCACTTAGTTTAAACTAACTTAGTTTATACTAAGTGACAGAGTCTGTTTCTTCTCTCGAAATGTACAAAGATTGAATTTATTTTTCCCAAATATTCCCTCATACAGATCTATTTGAACAGAACTGTTTTCAAATTTATACCCACTTACATCACATGCCATTTATTCAAATGATCATTTAAGGGTGGGTGGAACCAGTGATGGTAATGCTAATGGCTTCTGAATGAACAGCGAAACAAAGAAATGACTGCTACATCATGTTATGTATATAAAAAAAAGACTCTGAATGCATCACAGATTGGGTTTTTAATGTTAAGTCTTCACATTTGATTTCTTGTAAAAGATTTCTGTCAGCAGGCCTCAATAGCAATCATGCAGCAAAAGACAAAATGATTGCGTTACACATCTGCATCTCCTACTATCTGTCATTTTACAGAAGCAGCCACATATTTTACAGTTCTTTCTCTCTCCACAGGTTGTCACGTTACTTAATGATCTGTACACATGCTTTGATGCCATAATCGATAACTTCGATGTCTACAAGGTGGGTATGACTTATCACTCTATTGTACTACAGCAAAATGATAGGGAAGCATTTCTGATTTCTTCCAATTCGTCCCAAAGGTGGAGACCATTGGCGACGCCTACATGGTGGTTTCTGGATTGCCCGTGCGGAACGGTAAACTCCATGCCAGAGAGATCGCTGGGATGTCTCTGGCTTTGTTAGAGCAGGTCAAAACATTCAAAATTCGACACAGACCAAATGACCAGCTGAGACTCCGGATAGGCATACACACAGGTGAGAATGACCTTTTTAAGCTTAATGGGGAGGTATGCAAATCTAATCAAGTCTTCATTTGTTTTTCCTGAAGAGTTTTCACGGTGCTGAATGAAACCCGGTTGGGCAAAAAGACACCATTTAATTTGTTTATTTTTCCGAGAGGCAATTTTCATCTGAATGTTTCTCACTCTCTTTTTGAAAGACAAAATAACAGCATTCACAAATTCAGTGCACCTATATACAAACAGCTGCTCAAATTCCTGATGGCCTCCATTTTTGTGGCAAGTTTCCACTTGCTTTTTTTTTCCATTGATGTAGCTATTTTCTCCCCTCTGGCACAGGAGGATGACCATCCCATCACTAATTCCACTTTGAGTCCATTAATAGTTAACTAGGCCTAGATGACAAGTTCCACTGTAATGAGCACAACACCAGGTCTGTGTGAACAGATCAAACGCTGAAAGGTCTGAAATGGGCTTTTTGAATGCAAACTCATTCAATCTCACTTCCCATTATTGGCAAAATCAGTCATTTGTGTTTAGCTTACATTGTGAGAAATACTTATCAAAGCAGCATGAAGATTGTTAATGCTTGACTTTCCAACAACTATAGGCTCTAATACATTGCATGCCACTCTTATTTTTTACATAAATGTAATCAGCACCAATTCAAGGCAACTGTATTGTTTTTGTCTGCTTGGAGAAATTCTAAAAAAAAAGAATTGCTATAATAAAAGAGTGTGCAATTGTTTTTATAACTGTCACTGTGATATATAGCCATCCAATTAGTTACTTGATAGTAACTGAATAAATAAGTTATATCGTAGTAATAATATGATATATATTATAATACAAGGTGAATGAAATGAATGAATAATAAAGGTAATATTACCTTATATAATATCAGGTAATAAAAGGAACTGACTCACTAATTTAATGATTCAGAATGGAGAAAAGATAAATCTCATGTCGTAAAAAGCAAAACACCCTCTTCAACATCAGATAATCACAAAGCTGAGTAAACACAATTAAACCTTACAGCCTTGATAGAGGAAGGTTTTATTGCAGTAGCTTGTTTTAAACCACGAAGCTTAACCTAATGCAGCTGCAGAGACCACTGTGTGTATTGTTAGACAGTTGTGAGTTGAGACATAGCAACCCTGAATACACTTATGCAAGGTAAGAATAAACACCTCCTGACGTCAGTTACAAGAGGTTTGCTAGGCAGTATTTAGACTGTATCAGCTCATGGTGAAACTGTTAATATTATTAAGACACTTGACACGCAACAGAAGTGGATCATTGCAAGGGAGCAGGAGTTTTTTTTTTTTTTTGCCACTGTAAAATGTGAGTGTATAGAGTTTGTGTGTTTCAGGTCCAGTGTGTGCTGGTGTGGTCGGGTTGAAAATGCCCAGGTACTGTTTGTTTGGAGATACTGTCAACACAGCATCCCGGATGGAGTCTAATGGAGAGGGTGAGTACAGCTGTCACTGCCACTAGTGCTTATTGGGTTTTTCCCTTTTTTTGTTTTCACTGCTGTGTGTGTTGGATGTTCTACAAAAGGTCTCCATACAGATTGAGATTTTAAACAGGGAGGATAATTTTCCCCAACAGATTTATGCTGTGGAGACGCTGTCCTCACTTTTCTAAAGTTAGTTTTTTCTATCTTTCTGCCCTGTTCTGATTAATCTTTTCCCATACATTTTCCTTATCAGTGACCTGAGTATGTAATTTTGGGGTGTAATCAAGACTAAAAATCTATAACTTATTAATCTTGAGTCAATGTAGCCTATCACAATAAAACATGTGTAACTGTTTTAGGACATGTTGTTTTTGGTCAACTAAATGGCTGCAGAGAAGGTTTTCATTTCAAACGGTGTTGTACAGCTGTGTAAATACAATTTTAAGCTTCAATGTATCAGGACACCATAGAAAACATGGTTCTCATCAGTTTTTTTCCCAGAAGATTAGGTAAATACAACATAGTTATGTCATTATCCACTGATATCATCACAATTACTCAGGAAATCACGAGAATTATTTATTTCAAAGGGTTTCAGGTGAACAAAAGAACATGGAAGCATGGCTTATGTTCGTTAACTTGCTTCTGAACCAAACACAGCAGTGGAAGGCTGATAATTGTTTTGCGTCCACAGGGCCTATGCACCATGCAATCACAGAGTACATTAACTTGTTGAAAATTGGGTCATGCATACAAACCAACGAGAAAATTCACAAAAAAGGGCTGAAATAAAAGAAATGCATGGCAGGGCCTTAAGAAAGATGTGTAGAAACACATTATAGCAAACCTTAACGGCTATAAACACTAAACTGCCAAAACTGCCCTGCAACAATGTGAAAGACAAAATGGGTCAGGCAGAAGGTTCTGTTTGTTATTAAAAAAAGGATGGTATTGAGTTTAGCAGACACTGCTTCTAAAGATCGGCTTAGTTTTTGTCAAAGAAATATTTACCTTGTAATATTTCATGTGCTGTATTTACTTAGATGTTCTTGCAATACAGATGAAAGTTCAAATATGGTTTTCACAGCTATGAAAAGCCTGACATTTCTGTTCCGAACAAGAACAGGTAGCAGCCACTGTTATGCAACCTAAGTTGGACATTTTGTGAGTGAATCATCAGATCTATTGATTAACTGCAGAGTCCCTTCCTGAATTGTGCTTCATCTGGTAAATAATTAATAACACTTACAGAACAGGGCCGTTAGCCAGCGATAAACCGTGCTGTTTAAAGCTTCACAGGCAGGAAAAAGGCCTCACAACTCTACGCTGTAGTGTGTGCTTTAATTGAAAAAACAGCACAACTAACAATGACTTCCAATTACTTGCTGGTAATATTTAGGCATCTGGCTTTAGATGGGTCTAAATGCATCAGTCCATCTCACTGTACAATTTTTTCTGCATTTTCATGTTTGAATATTGACAAAAAAGTGCCATGATAGTTCAGATCCTGGAGCTATTAATAGTTAATGTTTTGTTGTTGTTGTTGTTGTGCGTTCAATTTGTTTTGCAGCCTTAAGAATCCACTTGTCCTCAGCCACCAAAGAGGTACTAGATGAGTTTGGTTACTTTGACCTCCAGTTGCGTGGAGATGTAGAAATGAAGGTAAGAGGCCTTTATTTAAATATTATGTTTTTAAAAAAGAACGCAGATCACAATACCTGTAGATGTAATTGAGCCTATCATTTTTTACTTCTAATTATATAGCTTGAATATAAAGTTTTAAAGCTTCATATTCATCAATACAAATAATTATTTAACCCCTTGTGGATCCTTCTGGGGTCAGTCACTGACTGGTAGGAATGTAAAGAGGGGTAACTTTTAGGAGAATGACAGTGAAACAAAATGATTTTATCAAAACTTTTGTTAAATCCTTTTCTGTTTTTTGATGGTTTATGCACGTGTCATCTGTGGAACAAGGAGAAATAAGTTTATAACCCAAAGTTAGCCTCAGGGTCACCCGTAATAAAGGGCAGCCTAACAGGGGGATATCAGTTACCCAGCCTCCTCCAACACCATCCATAGATGAACCTATCGATTTGGGTGTTTTTCCAGGGCAAAGGCAAAATGAGAACGTATTGGCTTCTCGGGGAGAAGACTGATGTGTACGTTATCTGAGAGGCCTGCTGATCGGGAGGCAGCGACAGTGGAGACGACAGCAGAAGCTCCGATGACCGAGCCGCAACTTTATTTGTTCTAGAATAAGCCCTTAACGGTGATTTCCCTGCAGAGGAAAGGTGAAAAAGTCCCTATGACAAAAACAGAGGGAAATCCAGGTATATTTATTACCTGTACACTGTAACAGAAGAAAAAAAAAATGAAGTAAAACAAAGAAAAAAGTCAAACAGAAAGTTGTTTTTGTATGAGGATGGTGCTTTTCAATGATAAATTCTTATTTTTCGTGCTTTCTATATTAAGATTTGTAAAATGTGTTTGGAGGTAAATGATGTACTAGTATTTTCTTGAAGCATCCATTGAAGTTTGATGGCACAGAATCACAATCATTGTTGCAAGCAGGGGTTCATTAATCATTTAACACAGTAAAACACTATATGTATATATGTATATCCAAGATAATGTAAAATATTTTGTTCAATAAACTGAATAAAACTGTTTTCATTTAAAAGTTGATATATGGATTTATTTATGTCTAAATGACATGGAAATGTAACAGGGCAAATGCCCGCATGAGCCATGCCTTAACTTTATATTCATCATCATGTCAAATCACAGCATGTATGTGGGCCATATTCTCCTGACACTCCTAAATGCTGTCATCCAGTTTTAGCCCAGAAAGAATTTATAAATGACCTCTGAAATATCAGAATTCCCCCAAGAATTGCACATGCAAAAGGCAGAGCGCACTCACGAGTCTCAGTCAGAGATATGAAGCAGGGGCACAGGCCTTTAAGGAATTAGTGTCTGCCCTAAGATATACTTTCTTTGTTTAATCTTCTAATTTGTATTTTCTTTTAATATGATTGCATTTCACAGATTGTGGAAATTAGCTCTACTGTATCCCACATAGTCTCTTTCAGCGCTTAAAAATTCACATTGCCAAGATGATAAGCAATGTTATATTACCATCTTTTATAACCTTAGCATTTATTTCAGCTTTATTACAGCATACAGGTTTATTGATGTCAAGCAATTGTGAACAAAGGGACATGGACGAGGGAAGGAGTAGAATAAAGCAAGTCAGCAGAAGGGAGCGGGGGTTTTCTGGTAATGACATCACTGCTCATTGTCAGTTTTGAAAAAAGGGCATGAGCACTGTTTGTGGCTACATCTTCCTGTGTGTTTGTGTAATTGTATCTCTGCAGGTGATGCAGGAAAGAAAGCCTGACACTACAGTCTGAGTTGCCTCCTGCACAGGTGTTATTAGCACTCTTTCTCCTACTGTGACACACTGCCAGCACCTGTAAGATCACGCTGAGTGTCATCTGCCGTCATATGGCCATAATTTTGAGGTCTAAAATGTCTTTCCAACTGTCTACATGAGTCTCAAAATCATTGCAGTTGTTAAAGCGCTTATAGTTTTTAGGGAATCTGGAATTAACTATGCGAATGGATAAAAAACCTATTCAGAAAGGAGCCGGTAAAGCAGAAAATGTTCCTCCATCTGAATAATTTCCAGTGTACGATATATGGAATTTAATGTTACCAAATGTCCTAAATCATGAAAACTATGTGCACACAGTCAGATGTTTTAGATGATAAAAACATTTTACTCACTTGGCTCTTCTCTGAGTAGTTTTATTTAACTTGATTCTGCAACATGAGAGCACTTTGACTGCTGGGTCATGAAGGCAAGACTGACCCCAGTGTGGTACAGAAAGCCCCCTTTCAAAAACTTTGCACGAAAACATTCTGTTAGAGATACCGCAGTCAGTGTAGCAACTAATTTCTTCAGTGGAACCAGATAGGAAGAGGAATATTCAATCTTTTGCAAATAATTCTAAATGGTAAGTGTCTCCTGTTCAGTGGTTGTGAACTGTGACTTGTGTACAGAATTATCCACATGCAGAAAGGCAAGTGAAAGGCTACAACTGGAGAAAGACATTTATTAACATGTTTTTTTCCCCCTGGAATATTTGTTTTTATTTGTCTGACTCAGCAAACACTTAAATGCTACCATAAGACCATCTACACACATCTATGATTTAGAAATAGCAGTCGAATTAGCCATGTGCCTAATGTTGAAGTGTAAAAGGAGTTGGATCTGGGATTTTTTAGCAACGAGGCGTTCTCTTTGAGAACAGATCCCTTCAGAGAAATATTTGGGACCGCTTTTGTAGAAAACACAGCTTACGGAAGTCTCATCAGAAAAGTACTCAAGTTAAAAAAAACATTGACATTACTTCAGCTAGTTAAACATTTGTGGCACAAACAAATGCCTGAGGACCCCATTTCAAGTAGAAGAATAATCACTACAAAGTGTTGAAATGGCGTGTGACATACTTGTGTGTAACCGTACCTTCTAAAAGATAAGTTTTGACTGGGTTATCTGAGGGCTAAGATTAAATAAAATGCTGCACATGGCAAAGCTGCATACTCATACGCAGAGGGACCAACCTAAAATTAAAGATGTGAAACAAAATTGAAAATTGCTGTATCTCATTTCATTCTGAAACGTTAAGTAAAAATCTGCTTCGGGGCCCCGTGTTTCACAAGCAAATTGGTTTTCCTGTATCATACTGTGAGATAATGAAATGTTTGGAGAGAAAAGCTGCATAAATAGGGGCTAAAATTACTTGTCGCTATAGCTACCGCCTGCTAATCCCTGCTGAAGGCAGAGAAAAGATCAGCAAAGCCTGAAATTGTCCTCTGATTGACAGAAAACACAGAGAATCTGTAGCATACTCAGTCCTCCCAACTATGTATCGTACTCCTTTTCATGCTGTGGGCCTTTGAGTAAAATTCTTTCCTGAGGTACAGAGGCACTTCTCAGTGCAGATAGCCCCTCACATCCACTTAAGAACAAAAACAAGACCATTTCCTGTGTAGGGGTAAAGTGTGGCATTTTCACCGTTTGGTATTTGATTACACTAATTAAAGGTTGCAACAGGCAGCAGAGAAATTAGAGAGAAAGATCCATAAAGCTTGTGAAGAAAGCCCTGGCGGGCAAGTGCTGCCATTTCGAAAGAAAAATCAGACTTTCAGCATCACGACCTGGAATGAACTGTCCCACCAATCCATCAGCAAATCCAGCTGTTATCCTTTACGTGGTCAGTAGACAAGCAGCATTCCAGCAAATTTAAAGTCTAAAGTATTGAGTTCACACAACACTCCTTATATGCAATACTTTTTATACAATTAAAACCAAGTTAAAATAATCGTAGTGTGTTTAGATCACTTTTTATGTGTCATGCACATTTGATTAAAACAATCTTTCGGAACCTAATTTAAAAAAAAACAAACAAGCGCAAGAGGCAAAGCAAATATTGATACGCCTGTCAATCGCCTGTCAATCCTTAAAAAATGTAGTTTACTCCTATTTAACTATGCTTTCATACATACGTAAGAGTTTCTATTGCTAAAGCTCTTTATCAAACGGGGTTCCTTAGTTCAAATTCTCAACTTCCACAACATAATAAACATTTACATTTTTTAAATCGTGTGAGTCATACTACAGTACTTTGAGGAATGCATTTTCATGGTGCGGCCTGTAAATATTTCCAATTTTAAAATGCAGTATTGGTGACTGGTCCTTGTCAAGATGGCAACAGTTGTGCTGAACAATGTTAAATCCCTCTTTCCCAACTAGGTCATTCAGTCTGTATCCAGTGTTTAAAAATGTTTATGCGCGGTCACGGTGTTTAAAAGTAGTGGAAATTATGTTAATAATATTTACAAAAGTGGGCCTGAGGTAGAGCCTCTGCATGGTGGAAATCAGAGTTTTGCACAAATGCAGCGGTATGTTTACTATTTGCTGCATACAGTTCAGTAGCTGTGCTCGGACGGACGCCGATAATACTTCAGGCCAGGATTCATATGACTCACACAGAGTGCTGACATAGTTTTCTTTAAGACGACAAGCGTTGTGGCGAGTGTTTCAAATTAAGAAAATATAAACCTGCTATGATCTGTCCCAGTTGGCGTTAAAGTGTGTGTTTTTTCATCATTTCTGCAACAATTTCTGTTTTAAGGTTTTGGGATAAATCAAAAGTAATCTGTTGGATTACTGTTTGATCATCTTTTTAATAACAACAACTGTGAAAAAGTGTTGCACTAATACTAGTTGTCCGGTGGGAGATCAGGTTCATCCAGTCGTTCACCGATGGGTGTGCTGAACAGGGCTGACTTCCTGAAGGGTGCTTTTAAGACCGGGGAAGCTGTCATTCCCTGTAACACATAACCAAACACATAAGACTACATACAAGCTACATGCAGGCTTGAAATTATAAGCAAAAACATCATGGTTTAAAAAAAGAATTAAGAAATGAATAAGATCTCTGAAGAAACTTTCACAAACCTGAATCCGCTGGTGATTTTCACTCCAAAATGTAATGGCCTGGTCAGTTTTGTAATCATGGACCTGAAATTTAGAGAAATAAAACACTTGAATAAAATAAGTCTAAGTTTCTTTAGTTTTTCTTTCTTTCAGAGCATTTTCTAATTATCACGGTGTACTTGTGCTTGTTCCTTATTGACTTAAATGTGTGAACTTACTGTTTCTGTTTGCCGAGCATTTATCTGGTGAAAAAACATTTCCTTATCATCCTGACATGGACGAAAGAAGGAGTAGGAGTCCAGAAATAAGTGCAAAAGAGCGTTTAATTGGATCTGCTTTTTGTTTTCGCGTTAACTTATGAGTTAGATAAAGAGTTTGCAAAACCATGCTCCCAATTTAAGTTTGAAAAACTATTTGAAAGAACTGTAGTCTGTAGTGTCTGACATTCTGACCACATGGGCCTCCTTTAGTTAGCTATTTACTACATCAAGAAAACTGCGAAAAAATGCTTAACTTAAAAAATACTGGATAATTGTCAAATTGTTAAAGAAGCAGCATGATACTAGAAAAAGTAATATTGCAAAATGTATTCTTCTGCAGGTTATATTAAATCAGATACGTACAGATAACTAAATAGCATTTGAATGATACAGATTTCTTTGTAGAAGCATAATTAGTTTTTTTAAAAAGAAAACAAATTTTACTTTATCCATTAGAACTTTTTATACATTCTATTCCATACAAATACTCTTTCTTCAAACGCAGAGCAGTAAATTTTCTTTCAACACACCACAGATCAAAACAGATGTGCTAAACAGCAGCTGTAACACGCTGTAGCACTCCCAATTACACCAGTATATTGATCGTACTTCTTCAGGCAGATGTCCAGCATGTGTTGACGGATGTGAAAAGCAAACCTGCGTGTCAATACAAGAAAAATGCCCAAAAGAGTTTTGTTGTTTTGATTTTACTGATGACCAAATCACAGCGAACCCTATTTGTGCCTGCTATTAGAAGCAGCCTGAAAACCTAACTAGTGTTTTGTGGTTGACATTATCTTTTCACAATATTCTCAAGAATATTTCCACACATCTGGTGTCCTTTTGTCCCACCTACCTTTTTTTTTTTTTTTACCAGTTGACCAACTTACTTATATATTGTGTGTTGAAGAACTTAATTGTGTGTCAAATTAAAACATAACTTAAATAGTTCAAAAGCAAAAAAAGCTGTTTGATTTCACTTTTTGTATTTAACAATTTACACCACATACCAAAAAAAAGTTGTTATGTGGCTGTTTAATGTCACTAATCAAAGAAAAAAGACAGAGCTGTAATTCCACAATGTTACACTTGCAGAAATATTATTATTTACATCAGACTGTAAGACTGTTCTGAAGTAGATTCAGAAAAAACAAAATACTTCTATCCTACTTTTAGAAAAACTAAACTTTCGATATCCAAAAGGTTACTTCCTGTCAAATCCTGAAATTCCAAAAAACATATACAGTTAGATGCAGGAAAATGATTTTCCGTAACTATGTAATTGATTTGTCATCTTAGGGCCACTTTGTTTTTGCCTGACCCACTTTCACATATTTTCCAGTAGCGTTTACTGGAATAGTTTGGACTTTTATTGGTCTGTTGAGGATCCGAAGCTACCTTGACCCAGATGTATCCAAACAGTCATATGTTTCCCAGATACAAGCAACATTTTAATCTACTTTGAGCTCCTGAATGAAAATATAATGATCTTTACATGTTCATGTGGCTATATTAACAACTTACTGTGTTTAAACCTTAATGTTTTACAGCATATTTTCACACATACTTTGGTTGGTTGCGGTCTGCTGGGCACAAACCCTTCCACACAGTAATCCCTTTGGGTTGTGCGGTAGTCCGTTTTGGGTGTCGGCAGGGTCAGTTCATCACGAACCTTTTCACTGTAAAAACAAAAGGAAAGAATTATTTTTATGTGAAGATTCATCGACACAAATCATGAATAGATAAGACATTTCTTAGTCATCTCTTTCTTATATCTTTTACTGCATGCATAAAGAAAGCAAGCACAGGAAATGGTTTATGTCTGTGAACTGCCTTCAGAAAGTAGCAAAGGGGAAAATCATCCATTGGAGATTTGAAAAAATAGATACATTTCACACCCGCGTTTCATACATGCACAGTGCTGAAAAGGTCAGATAAAGAAAAGTGACTGTGTGAGTGGACCAATTAGATGTAAACTGCTGGATAACGCGCATAATGGTGGATGTCTAAGAAATGAATGCGTCACATATATCATTTTATGACCCTCATTTAGAGAAAACACAAAATGTCACAATACTCTGAGGTGTTACAGTTGGGTGAAAGAGCAAGTATTGTAAGCCTGTATTCAACTATGCCATGCTGCTTTCTAACCTGATCTTCTTATTCATGGCATTTTACTTCACAAGACAACCAATAAGCCTAGAAAAACCCTCTGAGTTCTCTGACAAAAAGTGTGAAGAAATGATTCATATAACACTTACATAGACTTATAAGATCTTGGAATTTTATTAGAGTTTTATAAAATAACATCATAAAATCTGATTTAAACGTTTGACTGAGCAAATCGAAAGTCAGACATATAAATATTACATCACTTTTCACATACACGTTTCCCTAAAGATGTGGTGAGGGAGCGTTTTCATTTTCCATAAACAAACCACCTTCCAAAAGGCTTTTTCATAACTGGTTTACCTTACTGTCTGTGCAATGTGCATCTTCAAAAGCTCTGCTCTGATGCCTGAAACCAAAGCAAAAAAATAGGTGACACAAGGGTGCTGCAGCGATACTGGACTAGGTCAAAGCAGTCCTAAAAACAGTTATAAAATATAAACAAAACAGAGTGCAGTGATAAAAACATTTAAGATGCACTGCTTAATGAATTTAAAGTTTTTTCTGGGGAACAAAACATTTAGTTATTGATTAGCACAAAGGGAATTTGGATTTAATTGCTTCTTTAACATGGATTGTTTAATCAGGATTGTTGTTTCCTTTGGTTCCAGTGCTGTTCTGAGCCTCACTTTGACTTGTAGAAATCAAAAGGTTGTGAGAACTATATTTCTTCATATACGTTCTCACCCACAACCAACTTTCTGGCTTTAAGGTAGCAGCAGGCATGAATCAGCATCAGAACTGCGTTGGTTAAACAGGGGTAAGAGACACCTACCTTGTAGCCTCACTCCTGGACTCTTTGGTGCGACATAAGTCGCTTTTGATGTAGTGATAGTGTCCATTTTAGACTCTGGGTCGTTTGTGAGAATCCCTTTATGGCCATGTCTCTGGATCCACTTCTGGTCGTCCGTGTCAGGAGGTTTAACAGCTTTCTGAGTGATACAAAAAATGCTACATTGTTTTAATCAAAACAAAGGGCCGACATATTCAGCCATGTCCACTAAACTGACTTCGGGGTCAAAGGAAAAACAAGTATTACCTTTGTAAAGATGTCAGTGGCGGGAATATTTTAATTCACAGTTTTGCTTGGGTTAACAAAACTCTTTTTGTTTATCTATTTTTTCTAGTTTTAACTGATAATATTTATTGAAAAAAAATAAAGCCTTCTTTAAAAAAAGAAAAGATTGACCAACAAAATAGTCAAAACAAACAACAGATACAAAGAACTGTTATTGAACCATCAACTCCCTGAATTTGTCTTTTGAGTCAATTAACAAAATAGTTATGTGAGTACGGCAATTAAATGTTACAAAACACTTGGAATTATTTCAAATAAGCATGTAAACCTATGTTTTGTTATTATTCAATACAACAACAAAAAAATACAATAAAATAAATTTGTAATTCTAATGAAATTCTAAAGCTGAGATTTTTCTAGATATTGCACGAGTAGGATTTCAGCTGTTCTTTCAAAGGTCATAAAAAAAAAATATCGAAGGACAGACAATGAAATACTTATGGTATGGACATCTTAAAAAACTGTTTATGCTTTTCTTGCCTTTCTTGCTAACAAAGTTAAAGAATATCTTGGAAGGGTAGCTACATATCTTAAGTCGAAAAACAAAACAAAAAAGCTAATGGTCGGGAGGGCATTTGCACTCACCTCCTCAGCACTGTGGTCCCGTAGATTTTTTGCAGCTTTGTTCGTCGAGGTCGTTGTCTGCTCACTCATTATAACGAGAAAAACTGCAAACGCTGAGGCAAAAATGACCTTACGTGTCGGTGGCTAATTGCAACTGGTTTTTGTTGACGGAAGTGTCGCCATGGCAACGGGACCCTCCTTTCTTGTGTACGTGGACCCTTAACGACATATTACTGTCGTTACATCTTATTAAATTCTAATTGGCGGGAGAAAAAAGAAATTCAGAACTTGCAGAAGTTTATTTTTTGTCTTTTCCTGTTGTTTATTGAACATTTTGGCCATGTATTTTCCTTAATTCCTGACAACATGCTACTCAAGTTCCATGAAAATGAGGTGCCATGGCAACATTGGCATGATAATATTTTAAAAATTACTAAAATACAACATGAGTTTTAATTGCCAATTACTCCTGCACCACATGTTATTACGATATTGTTATTACGTGTTTACGATAGAATCTATCGTAAAATACAAAGAACAAATGTCCAAGCCTTATCCAAGAGGTGTTTTTTACAATAGCTGTTTAAAGGCAATTTAAAACAAGTTCCATATTTGGAAATGTAATGGTTTGCCGGGGTAAATTCTGCTTGTATTCAGTGAGCAGTGTCCCAAAGCCTTAAAACATTTCCTCACAGGTTGAGGATTTCTGTTTGGAAGTCACTCAGGTGATCTGAGGAGTAGATCTACTGATGTGGGTGGGTGAATCTTCCCTTAAGGCACAATTAAAGTAAGGAAAGACAACAACACTATTATCTTTGGATTATCTGGAATTTTTTTTGTTTATCATCTGACGAGTTATCTATCCAATCATCAAATTGTTAATGTTAAAAAAAAAAAATTGTTGTCAAGGAAACTTTTTTTCTCATTTAAAAGGTTCCTTTTACATATCTCAAAAGGGAATATTATTGCGAAATAAAAACAAACCACCCGGAAAACACCTGAACGCCTGACTTAATTATGTTCAGTGTGTGTTGTAAGGCAGAACATCACTGCATATTTAAACATAGTTTACCGCAAAATTGACTACTATCATTTGGAAATTTAAAAAAAAGGAAACAAAAATACTTTGACAATCAATTTGCTTTATCTCTATGTTGATTCACTATTTTTTAGGATTCAGACACCATTTCTTCTTATCAGCGCAAATACATCTAAATATAACACTCAGTGCTTGTTACCGTGGTTATGAACCATAGAAACAAACCACTGGGTCTGTTGCCGAGAAACAGCAAGAAGAGTTTTCACTGTCAGACAGTATGAAACACTCTCTCCCCACCATGAAGCACAGTCAGTAACTGAGTCGATGTTTTGTAGACAATGGACAGTTACAATGAGCATTGGGATGGTCAACAAGGTACTAGGTGTGTATTCATTATTATTCAGTGATCAGTGATTATGCTGAAAGGAGATGTGTCAAGTCCTCTGACAAATGTACAATTCACTGACACCTGGCAGCAGATATAGAAAGGGAACCACCAGCATTGATGTTGAATGTAAAAAACAACAACTTTTTCTTTAGTATATATAATTATGATCACTAAGAAACAGCAAAAAGGTCCCTTTTCAGCCATCTTATCAAACTAGCACCTCTTGTGAATTATTTCCTACTTGTCAGATGCATAGTTTTTGATAAAATAAATAAATAAAGGACACAGAAAAAAAGATAAATGAATAAACAAATGAATAATGTCAGTCTTTTTTATAATAAATAGCATGTATTCAATTGTGATATTACACATTTATATTCAAAAAGTGGTATTTTATCATCTTTATGCTATCCAGTAGTATTTGATGTTTTCCTTCATCTGGTTAAAATCTGAAAAGTGCTACACAATAAATTCAGTGTAAAACTTTTAAGTGTGTGGTGTTCCTTGAACTGTAAGAAATTCAGTACATTTCTAACAAATGATGATAAAACAAAACAGTATCACTATTTTAGTCCAACTTTAACCAGACTAGATCACGTTTCTCATTATCACAATAATACATATGTATTCCTGCCTTCATGCACATGGTGACACGAGCGCTCTGTTCATGCTCCAAACCTCATTAACTAGACTCTGACCAGTTAGAAACACAAGAAATTATTACATATGAGGAATAATAGGCTGTTAACAACAGAGTGCTTCTGCTGTTATTGTATTGCGTGCAAAACATGAACCCACTCAGTTGGGAATGACATATCACTAGGAAATCATAGAGTCTGACTTACTACAATCTTTGAATTGTTTGTATACTGGGAAATCAGTATTTTTAAATCATAAAAGCTTAGCACATATCATCATAAATAAAAAGAATATAGGAAAAGTCAGCAATTGTGAATATAGTCAGACAGTAGTATAGTTCATCCTGATTGGTGCCAGAATGTTTGTTCCTGATCCAGTGCAATCTGTTTCAAGGTACAAGGTACAAGCCACAAGGTAATTATGTGCTTGTGGCTGTTTTCACATAACGTTACACGTCTTTTAAAGTAAATCTAGTTCAGAAGTTACAAAATGTACTCTGAAAGAAGTGCATTAGCAGCTTTTCGATCAAAATGTTCTGAATCCCATCCACGTAGTTCACTATTCTCTCCATCCATTAAAAGATCAAAATCCCCTTTTTCAAAAATCTTTGCCTTGCACACAGAGTACCCATGCTTCTATTTTTTCTCTACCCTGTGATTACATGTTGACTGACCACCTCAACAGCATCCCTGCTGAGTTTCTTAGTTTTTCTCTTATATTAAGGGCACAACGTGCTGCCATCTTTTGGGGGAATGCTGTACGACGTGGCACTGCAGCAGCTTTAATCTCAATACTTTCTTCCTTTGGATAACATCCCGACCCTGAGACCAACATGACACCCTGGTTTGAGTAAATAGCAGCTGTGTTTAGCTTTCATCTGTAGCTTCCTCACGGAATATCAAGAGGCATGTGACACCATTGTAGGATTCAGGATGCTATCCTTCTGGCTGCTGTGCCTAGATGCGTATATAAAAATATTTGCAGCGTTGTATACGTTTAGTCAATCCGCATCCTGATAGGAAAGTGTTGTTCTGTCAATTCAAACATGACCAGGTGGCAGTACCTCAATGTCTTCTAAGGAATGCATATGAGAAGAAAATGTAATGGTGAAATTTAAATTTATAGAAAGTTATGCTATAGATTATATAGTCGTAAATCAGAGTTGATAAAAAAGAAAGATATATGTCATATTCCTTATCAGTCTTTTTGTCTCCTTGATTGCATTTATAAAACAGTGAGGATGAAATGTTACTGGCTTGTCAATAACATAAAGTTAATTGACATAATCTATTTGGCAGACGAAATCTTTAAATGAAGGCTTACTTAAGCTACTTTAAGAGGCAATAGGTAAAAAGTCTTACCTAAAAATAACATGGATACCAAACACAGAAACACAGAATGAACAGTCAATAGAAAAATGACAAAGGGTGAACAGAGAAAAAGGATCATATCTCATGCAGAAAAAAATGTACTTAGAAGTAAAGCATCAGAACCAGAACTTAAGAAATATTGTTTGAAAATTGATCATAATAATGTAAAACCCTAATGTCATACAGGGATAAATTAATAAACAAAATGTGCACAAACATGATCTTTGAGGAAAAAGATAAAAATGCCAAAAGCTTATTTTCAAACTACAATTTTTTTGCTAACATTTCAAGAATAGTGTTCTTTCTATGTTAGATATTTGACACAACACGATAGAGTAACAGTTCTAGATTCTGAATGGACATGGAACAGCTCAACCCAGAAAAACAATGGGCAGCTGCCTCTGAATGATTCAAGTGAAGTCGTGTGGAGGGAGCAGCTGGCACCTAATGGCTTCATTTCACATCCAAAGCTTAAAATACAGGGGAAAAACCGTGTCACAAATCAGTAGGTTTTGCACTGATACATAATGACAAATTTAATGTATGAACGAAAACATAAAAAGTGAACTTGACCAGCAGGTAACAGACTTAGTGCCATTGAGTCAATAAGAAAACATTAGGGAAATTAAACAACAGGATAACAAACAGAACAATTCAAGAACTAGTCAATAAAAAATGAGATATGTAACATTTTATGTAGTGCGGTACCGAGTGGTACCAAATCACTTTAATGTCCAATGAATACTGTTCGCTGAACATGTAAAACCAGTTGTTTAGTGTCCAGAAACAGATTATTAGCTGTTCAGTGGACCTATTGGATCAGATCCTGAACACATCAAGCAGCAACTGGAAATGAGAAGACAACAACTGTTGATAGAGTAACATAAGTTACAATGAAGCAGGATTCCATAATCTTTCTTTTACAGTACAATAATCTGAAGGTGTTGCACATGCATAAATGAAGTAAGATTATCATTTTATAATATTTATGTTACGAAGCGTGACAGATAGACTAAAGTGGGGTATTGACATATTTCTTTATATCCTAATATTTGTACTTTTTGCCTTTTCTTTGGTTTAAAAGCAGAACTCTTGAACCTCTTTTTTTTATTACAGATGAATAACTTCCTTCACTTGTTTAAGAAAGTAATCTATGCATGTTGTAGAACAAAACGTCTGAACCTGTCTGCGAGCTAACGAAAACATAGATTACAATCTGTAACACTTCAGAACTGGCCGTCAGTGTGCCCCGCTCTGGAATTCCAAGGTAAATCAATTTGGACCAGTGTGCTGTTGATCTACTTCCTGCATTTACCGAGCTGAAGTAACACTTGAGCTCAGTATCGTAACATGGAGAAACGCTGCTTAATTCCTAAGGGTACCAGTTGGTTTGTATTAAGCTCCATTCAAACTCTTGTGCCAAGGCCACGTGTTTTCACTGGCACCTCCATTAGTGTAGTCAGCTGGTCAGCACATCTTAACCAAGGCTCTTTTAGAGATCCTTATTTTCCCCTCTCGTTTTCTTTTAGACGAGGTGTAGAACTGTCTGTGCAGACAGCAGCCCCGAAGGCAAACATGGAAAATGTTCCTTGCTGCTGCCTTAACAGGGGCATGGGGAGAATGATTGGCCTATTTTATTAACACTCGTGAAACAAATGACACAATGTGGTTTGCATGAAATTCTTTCTGGGGTTCAGAA